TTCTTGCTAAGGATTGCTTTAATTATTCTGAGTCTCTTATTTTTCCAGATGAATTTCATGATTGCTTTTTCTATTTCTATGAGGAATGTCATTGGGATTTTGATTGGAATTGCATTAAATCTATATAGTGCTTTTGGTAGTATGGTCATTTTGACAATATTAATTCTGCCTCCAAGAACAAGGGAGACCTTTCCATCTTCTAAGGTCTTTTAATTTCTTTCTTTAGTGTTCTGTAGTTTTTGTTGAAGAGCTCTTTTTTTTTTTTTTTAAAGAGAGAGGAGAGAGAGAGAGAGAATTTTTTAATATTTATTTTTCAATTTTCAGTGAACACAACATCTTTATTTTATTTTATGTGGTGCTGAGGATCGAACCCAGCGCCCTGCGCATGCCAGGCGAGTGCATTACCGCTTGAGCCACATCCCCAGGCCGTTTTTTTTGTTTTGTTTTGTTTTGTTTTGATTTTGAGATAAATAAAGAGCCTACATCTTCAGAACAAATTTTTACCACTCGCACATCAGATAGACCACTAATATCTAGGATATATAAAGAACTCAAAAAGCTAAACTGCAAAGAACAAATAGCCCAATCAGTAAATGGGCCAAGGAACAGAACCTCTCAGAAGGTGATATACATACAATCAATCAACAAATATATGAAAAAATGTTCAACATGTCTAGCAATTAGAGAAATGCAAATCAAAACTACTCTAAGATTTCATCTCACTCCAGTCAGAATGGCAGCTATTAAGAACACAACAATAAGTGTTGGCAAGAATGTGGGGGAAAAGGCACACTCATACATTGCTGGTGGGACTGAAAATTGGTGCAGCCAATATGGAAAGCAGTATGGAGATTCCTTGGAAAGCTGAGAATGGAACCACCATTTGACCCAGCTACCCACTCCTCAGTTTATACACAAAGGACTTAAAAACAGCACACTACAGGGACACAGCCACATCCATGTTTATAGCAGAACAATTCACAATAGCTAAACTGTGGAACCAACCTAGATGCCCTTCAATARATGAATGGATAAAGAAAATGTGGTATGTATACACACAATGGAATATTACTCAGCAATAAAAGAAAACAAATCATGGCATTAGCAAGTAAATGGATGGAGTTGGAGAATATAATGCTAAGTGAAGTTAGCCAATTCCTAAAAACCAAATGTTGAATGTTTTCTCTGATACAAGGAGGCTGATTCATAGTGGGGTTGGGAGGGAGAGCATGGGAGAAATAGATGAACTTTAGATAGGGCAGAGGAGTGGGAGGGAAAGGGAAGGGGCATAGGGGTAGAAAAGATGGTGGAATGAGATGGATATCATTATCCTAAATACATGTTTGAAAACACGAATGGTGTGAATATACTTTGTATACAACTAAAGATATGAAAAATTGTGCTCTATAGGTGTAATAAGAATTGTAATGCATTCTGCTGTCTTATATAACAAATTAGAACACAAAATAAATAAATTTTTWAAAAACTTACTCTTGAAAAATACTAATTTCTGTGTTTTATAGGAACCATTGAAAAATATAGAATCATAAATTTGTGACATTTTTATTTTAGATGGTTGACTCATCAACTACTCAATAAAACAATATCATCAAATATCACTGAAATCACCATAGAAATTTGAGTTTTGCATTTATACATATGTATGTGAAATACTTTGTTTTTTAAATCTGCAGTAAACATCTCCCAGGGGAGTCCAAATTTCAGCAGAAACTGGCCGAAATGAGTAAGTACTTATTTCACCTTATAAAAATGAAAGAAACAGTTATTTTTATTGCAAAAGCCTTTTGCTTCATAAAAGAATACACATAATTCCTTTTCAAGTAGCAGATGTGTTTATGCATTTAAAATATTTTGGTTGAGAGTATTTTATTTACCTCACACATTTTTTAATTAAATGTATGCTGCAGAATGAAGGTCTTTGTCACCCTAACATCTTAAGTGCAGGAAGACTAAGAAGCGAAATGTTGCCTGACGGCATCTTCAATGTAGTGCATATGGTCAGAAAATACTGTATGGCAACAGAACTATCATGAGGAGGTCTTTTATGTATGAAGGACAGGAAAAGGTTTCACAAACCTAGCATATCCTCACCCTCATTTAAAAAACACTGTCTTATTCTGCTTTAAAACATGTTCAAACAAAAGTTTTCTATTACTAAAAATCAGACTTTTGGTAAAGAATGCCAGGTCATTTTCTAAGTTTGGAAATAAAATTGGAATGTTGGCCTGGGAGTATCACTCAGTGCTACAGCATATTTGCCTAGGATGTGTGAAACCCTGAGTTCAATCATCAGCCCTGCCCCCACCCAATTTTTTTTATTGGGGATGGTGATACTAAGGCAAATGGAATCCTATTCTAAACTATTCTGAGGCTATAAAAGAAAATTAATCCAAGTATAGTAGATGGCAACTCTGTAGGAAAAGATAAATGTTCACAATCCACTGCTTGGTAGTTTTAGGTAGGTAGCTGTAACAGTGTGAAAGTTTCTGATATGTGGTATCAGATCATTTGTAGGAAAAGAATCTGGAACTTGTAAAAGAAGAATGTTTAGAAAATGAAGGTTGTTAAAATAGTCATTCCTGGGTCATAGGACATCAATGAGAACAATATCAATTAAAGCCTAAGAAGAGGCTTTCAACTGTCTTCATAGATACTAACTTGGAGACATAAAGTATTTAAAAGAATACTTTTGGTTGATTCTTAAGCCATTTTTTCCCAATGTATTGCGTTACAATTAAAACTAAATATAGCAAACATTTAATTTGTTTGGATTTTATATCAACTGAAATATTCCTATTTTAACTTTTAAATAGTTGTGGTTTTTCCTCCCAATACATGAAAATAAACATGAAGCTTATAACCAAAATCATGCTGTGAAGACATTTGGAAGCATTTTGGAATGTACAGTATGCATTTAAAAAGGAGCAAAAGCCTATAAAAACACGTATATTTTCTTAAAGAGTTCCACAACTGTAATCAGTACATTTCCTGGTGACACACTTAGCTACGATACAGTTTCCTCTTCCAGGTCAAAGTTCATGGATTTTGTGCAGATGGAAAATTCAGGACAATTAGTGGGAGTTTTAACCCCTGAGGCTAAGGAAGGTATTCACCAGCTTGCTTAAAATAATTGCATTCATTATTACTGAGGGAAGAATAGAAGTTCATTGGATTAGACAAAAGGGTTTTATTTTATTTATTTTTATCTATCTGTAATTTTTTGTGCTTTACCACCTGTAGTTATATCTCCAGCTTTTTTTTTTTTTTTTTTTGAAACAGTGTCTTGCTTAGTTGCTAAAACTGGCCAGGAACACTTGCAATTCTCCTGCCTCAGTCTCCAGAGTATCTGCAATTACAGGAGTATGTGACCAATCCCAGTTCTCAATTTCAGTATTTGCTTAGAGTATTTTAAAATTTATACACACATCTGGACATTTCATTAGTACATGCTTTGAAACACTTTAATTCACATGTTGTAGTCAGTTTTACTCACATGACTTTAAAAACTTTGGAGACCCCTGCCTTTGCAAGATTTTGAGCTCCATTAGTTTGACATGAGCATAATATATATGGCAACCCCTTGCCAACATACCCAGTATCATCAACACTATTAACAGGTCGTCTTCTCTTTTTCAGCATCTACTCGAACACGAATGCAAAAACAGAAAATGAATGATAGCATGGATACCTCAAACAAGGAAGAACAGTGAGGATCTCAGGACTTTGGTGGACACTGTGTATACCATGTATGCCTCTGGCTTCATTATCTCTCAGAGATGTGACTGTATAACTCTCCCAAGTTCTGTTTACAGCCACATTAATATCTCTTTTTTGTAGATATAAAATGTGCAGATACAAGTTGAATATTTATGTGGGTGATTCCTAAGCCACTTTCAATGTTATATTCAATGGTATATGCATTGTTATTATACAAGATTCAAAATCTTGTGTAATCCTGCCATTAAAAAGGTATAGCAGATCATCACATTTCCAAAGTAAAATTGCTCTGCTTTATGAATGAATTGAGGCTGCCTCTGGAGTGGGAGTACTAATAACCCATGCCTGTCTGACTACTTTGTCTTCCCTTGTAGCATATGTGTGATGTTTGCTCTTGGTTTTATTAATTTATATGTATATTTTTTTAATTTAAAAACGTGAACACCCTTAGAAAATGTGTCCTGTCTTCCAAATGCAATATGACTGACTGTCCATTCACCCAAATTATCTTAAACTCTTCTGCTAAAACAGATTATTATTAGAAACTAGGAAAAAATTAATTTTTACACATTTGATTTTATTTTAGTATTGGAATCTGATGTATTGTGTGCTTGTTTTACAAATTTTCTTTTACATACAAGCAAAAAACAAAGGACAAACATGATACTGTCATACTACTGACACAGATTTCATACCTCAGAACTTATAAGAATTTCTTCTCTTTATCCAAACTCATGGTTTAAAATGCATATTATTGTAATACTCTTGGTTTGGGGTTTTTGTTTTTGTTTTTTACCATTCATATCACTGAATTTTTTAAGTACCTATCTGGTACTTGAAAAAGTAAAGTGTCCAGTCAGAGCTTTGCTGAGGAGGACTCTAATACAGTATATCCCAAGTGCACTTTCTAATGTTCCTGGGTCCTAAAAAAATCAAGATACAAATTAATTTTATTCCATAGCAAGTCTGTTAACTATAGAAGCCTTGAGGGTTTTTTTTTTTTTTGAGTTTCCCTTAGGGATTTGTTTAATTGCATCTCAATAATTATTCTGCCCTCCTAAATTTGGGAAGGTTTGTGTTTTCTCTGGAATGGTACATGTCTTCCATGTATCTTTCGAACTGGCAATTATTTATCTTCTATTTTAAGTCAGTATGGTCTAACACTGGCACATTAAAAGCCACATTATCTCTAGTCCAATATTGCAAGTAATCAAAGGTCTTGTAAGTTAGGCATTAATTTTTCTGATTTTATGCAAAAGCTTCAAATTAAAATAGCTGCATTAGAAAGAAGTGCTATCCCCCTTCCCCTACACCTAAAGGTGTGTTTAAACCGTCTTGTGTGATTAACTTATTTAGAGATGGTATATATAAAATAGGTGGTATTTAAGATAGCATCAGCTAGCATTTAGAAAAATCATTTTGTCTAAACTCAGAGTTCTTTTTAAAAAGAAATCTGGTCTTATTTCTTAGAAAACAAAATTTTGTGTTTAAACATCAAACTTACTATTTTGACAGTTATCTTGATAACAGGCACTAGAAAGCTTTACCCTATTTCTTCATATTTTTTTTGCATGAATAGCATACAATTCAGTTAGTTTTTATGTCAAGGGCTTACCATATTTCTGAGTCTTTTGCTCATAAATTTACATTAGAATTAGTGACAGAATTTTAGGAATTTCAGAGATYGTGTATTGAGATTCTTAAGACTTCAGATGTTGCTTTATTGCTTTTTTGTACTGGTTAAAACTATACATTTAAAATTGCTATGTTTACTATTTTCTAAAACTAATAGTTTGTCTATTTTAAAATAAATTAGTTGTTAAGAGTCTTAGTGGTTTGATGCTGTGGTCTTTTTATTAGGTATAGCAGTGTTCCCTTTGGTATGTAAACTGTCTCCTACTATCTCATCCGATGAATTCAGTATTTAGTGGACCCTTTCTGCTGCTGATTCCCAAATTTGTTTCTCCAGCCCTGACCTGTTCACAGAAATTAAACCTATCATAGCCAATCAAACTCTCAATTCCTACCCCACTCCAATTTCTCACAATTTAAGTCAAAATCAACAACAATATCTTGTTTCTACTCTAGTCTTTCCCCATTTTTACTAAACACTTATCAAGCAAAAAACTTAGGAGTCACCTATTAATTCCTGTCTGGATCACTACTTATTTATTCATTGTTAAAAATCTATAAAGCTGAAAACCAAGTGGTCCTGTGTGTTTGGAACTAAAAATCATATGAAACCAGAATCTTATCTAAATTGCCATATTCCTTTCTATAGTCTTTAACCCACTTACTGGAAATATTCATCTTTCTCTCAGAAATATTTAATGTTTGATTATCATGAGCTAAGGCCCTATACAGTCTTATATATCATGTGGTATGTGTCATTTTATTATTATTCTTAACTCCAAATATATATATATATATAATGCATCTAGCACAAAGGTTTATTTTTAGTTTATACAATTTCTCAGAAGTGGGTGGAAAATGCAGTGCTTTCCTTCTGGAACAGCATATTTATTCCTGAAGGAAGAAAGGCAAATAAAGAGGCTAGAGCAGGACAAGCAGCAGGTGAATCTCAAGAGGCTGTACTCATATTGCATGAGGATCTTAAATGAAATGTTGTGTTAGGTCAAGTCAAAAATCAAGCAGCCTTAACAACACTAAACATTTTTGTCTCAGTGATGGAAAATTAATCACTCCTGATAATTTAGCATTCTAATTATTTAAACATTCATTATAATAAAAGGAACAAGTTCAGATTCATGTATTTTACTTTTCATTACAGTTTTCTGGCACAAATGGTGGAGGGGAAGATCCTGCCTTCTATTATTATCTGGATGATTGCATAGAACTTGCTTTTAAAGGCATATTTTTGTTCCTCATTTTGGGACCAATGTATTGTACATATCAAGTTAAATATTCAGTAGAAATTCCCTCTGGACTAAATTGGTATTTTAAAAAAAAAATATTTATTTTTTAATTGTAAATGGACACATATCTTTATTTATTTTTATGTGGTGCTGAGGATAGAACCTAGGGCCTCGCACATGCGAGGCAAGTGCTCGACCGCTGAGCCATAACCCCAGCCCCTAAATTGGTATCTTATAGAAAACTTTGCCACACCACAAGGCCAGGTGTGGTGGCACACACTTATAATCCCAGCTACTAGGGCTGAGGCAGGAGGATTACAAGTTGAGGCCAGCCTCAGCAAATTAGTGAGACCCTGTCTCAAAAATAAAAAGGGCTAGTGTGATGTAGCTCTGTGGTGCAGGTCTTCTGGGTTCTATCCCCAGTACCATTACCAAAAAAAGAAAATAGTCTACCACAGATAAAGTTTCTTAAATGGAGACATTATGGTGCCATAGTTGGTATGTCAAATATATGGCAAAGGCCACATGTTAAAGGGTTGGTTCCCAGGGTGGCACTGTTAGGAGGTGGTAGCAGAATTTTTGAGGGCTGGATCATAATGGGAGGTTCTAAGGTCACTGGGGGCATGCCCTCCAATAAATTATGGGATACCATGCTTCCTGTCTCTTTATGTTTCCTGATATAAACAATTTGCTCCACTATGTACTCTTGCCAAGATGTGCTGCCCTCACCAGAGCCCCAAAGTCATGGGGCCACCTGATCTTAAGATGGAATTCCAGAACTGAGAGCCAAAATAAACCTTTTTCCCTTTATAAGTGAATCATCTTAAGTATTTCATTATAGTAACACAATACTGACTAATACATATGGTAACACTATGTAATGTGTAAATGAGATAAAAACAAGCTCTTTTAATATACAGCTGAGAGAGTCATCTGTTCTCATAAACTCTTCTGTTCATTGTTTTGAGGCTGTACTTTCATATTAGAATTGACATGTGACACTGATAATTTATTTCAACGTTTCCTGTGATAATTTTTCAAAAAATATATTTTTAGTTGTCAATGGACGTTTATTTATTTATAAGCAGTGCTAAGAATCAAACCCAATGCCTCACACATGCTAGTCAAGGGCTCTACTACTGAGCTATACAACCTCAGCCCCTCTATGTGGTTTAATATGAAAGATTAAATGTATTGTACAGACCAATATCAGTTACTTCCTAAATAGAAAATGTTATGATTTTTATTTAGTTAAAGTTACTGAAAAAAATCTAAGTTTTATATTTCAATGTTTGGGTAAAGACTGAATATAAAAATAACAGTAAAATATTATTTTTCCTTTTTCTTCACAGTTTGCTCAACCTATTTGCTACGAAAATGGAGGGGGGGCTAATAAAGAAGGCGAGGTTACATAGTTTATGGTTGCTTCTTTTCATTCTCACTGGTTAAGAATTCTGCCTCCAAATAAAACTCTACATGTTATGGTCCATTTATAGTAGCTGTACACTAAAGAAGATATTTAATATTCTTAACCTTTGCTTTTTAAAATGAATTAAATGGCATCTTAAAAAATGTCTATCAGCAAGTGAGGATACTACTTCATTCCTACAGAATCTTGATTTTTCTCTGTACATCAGGGTAAAATTATATTGGAAACATTAAGACATTGAACTTTTCTGTGGATGTAAGAGATGAAACAAAACTTCAGGCTAGAAAAACTTAAACCTGTATAAAAGAAAAGATTCATTCATTTCTGATGCAGAGTCATTTTGAAAATCTACCTGTGTGTCACTTATCACTAATAAACAGAATATTCTGAGGCTTTGTAAACACTCATCTGTCAGAAGGAAATAAAGGAAGGAAATCTTTTGGAAGTGTCAGTGGCAAGTCTGTCCTCCAAGACCAGAGAGAAAACATGTTTTTTCAGTAGATGTTTCCACCACACCCAGGACTCATCTGTCATCTCTCACAGTGGTCTAAAATTAGCTCTTCCTTATTGTTTGAAGTCATAAGTTTTACGTGCTAAACCACTTGATTCTCATCCCTGGCAGAACATCAAAAACACTTATGGAGCTTTTTAAATACTCCGATTTAGAATCCTCAAACCTATATTCTGTAAAGTCCCACAGATTACTCTGCTGTGCACAGAGATAAGGAGCACTGAGATGATATTGTACCCCTACAATATGAGAGCACTTAGAGAGAAAACATGGATACAAATCCAAAGTAACAACTTGTACCCTAGGAGTGTGACTACTGACCTGTTATGAAGCCTGGTAAAGGGTAGTTCATTTATCATTACTAAATAAACTTCTCTGTTCCCCTTTCAGTGTTCCAATTTTTACATGAAATGTTTATTAAAAGGGGGAGGGGCACTGAGGAGCTAAGACCCGAAGAGCAGGTGGAACACAGGATTTATAGAGCAGTGAATCCTGTATGGCATAATAATGATGGCTACATTTCTCCAAACACATGGAATGTGCAACAGCCTTCAGGTGATGATGTGTCAATGCAAGATCATCACCTGTAAGAAATACACACTGTGGTGGGGGACCCTGGTAATGAGGGAGGCTACACATGTGTGAGGGCAGAGAGCACAATAGGAAATGTCTGAATCTTCATCTCAGTATAGCTATGAACTTAAAATTCCTCTTAAAAGAAAGTAACCTTGTCAAATGCAATAATATGAATAGTAACATTTATGTTTTAAGTAGGCTTTGCTATAAGACATAACTGAAAAATTTCCTTAAAAACAAGCATATATCACATGGAAATATATATATCTGAGACGTGAAGTTGATATTTTATAATTTCACTGCTGCTTAGGGATTAAAAATGCATTTATTCTATTATTTGCAAATAAGCACTTTATTATTATCAAATAGTTCAGCATCAGAACAAGATTTACAATTCTAAAAGGGTCTTCTTTACATAACATCATATTGTGAGATATATATTAGAAGAAACGGATACTATGTCCTGTTCCATTTTCTCTTTTGCAATTGAGTAACTTGTTTTGATCTAAAAAAGTATAAATTTCTCTCACACTTGTTATGTAAGTATCATTTCAGCTAGTACAATTATACCAGTGCAGTTTAAGAGACCTGTTTTATAGTGATATATGCTCAACTGTAAGAAAAACTCATAATCATTTTTACTTACAAAGGCAAATCATCCTTAACACAAACAAAAGCAAAGGACCTTGTTATGCATTTATGTAAGGCAGATGAACCCAGAAATAACATTCATTTGAAGGTAATACTTCATATCCAATAATCCCATATGATAAATTAATTACTCAGACTAAAAAAAATTAAAATTAGCCCTTGGGCCTTTGACAATTTAATTGCTAAGGCCTTTTGTGAATTCTAATTAGCGCTCTAAATTAGCCACTATTTCTCAGAATGATGTACCAGAAGACTATGAACCTCAATAATTACAAGCTGTTTTATATTTATCCTGTATAACTTCTTTATCCAGTATTCCACAAATAAAGCTGTTCTCAGATCACCTTTAAGATTTATAATCAATTAACTGAGTGCCTATTATATGCAAGGCACTGTTTTGGGTGCTGAAAATGTAGTAGTGACAGCATTCTTTGTCTAGTGAAGTGCGTACTACCAGCCTGCTGAATAATGGAACACTTGGCCAGAGGAACATATACCAATATCCCAATGAATCAAAGTTGTCCAACTGATTCAAAAGAGGAAATGGTAAATATAAGACATTTGCATTGTTTTCCTTGAGCACAGTTGCATCTGATGAGAGTATTCAATGCTTTCTATGTAAACTTTAGATTTAGGCATATGAAAAAGACTGATTCACATCCTTCTAACAGAATACAAGTATTCAGCCAAAAGTAGCTGATTCTAAATACTGTTAACTGAAGTGAAGCTATTCACCACTGGCTTTTTTGCAGGGGAAATGGAAAGGTTCAAAAACTCTTCTTTTCTGCAGATGGGATCAATTTTTAAAGGCTCCAACTCTGCTGGCTTTGCTAATGAAGTTCTTCAGGAGATCATGGTCCATTTCTGCAAAGCCTGAAGTTTGTGTCACTACAGTCAGATGATTTATGCAAAACCTGAAGCAGAAGTCTTCTAAATCCTAGGAACAACAATAACAAAGGCTTATTAGCAAGTTCATATTTCCCAATACAGTGCAATATGGCAGGAGAATTCCTCAAATAAGAAAAAAAAAAACTGGATAGCCAATAGGAGGAGATATTGATAGAGTGATACCTAAGCAATAGTTACAGAAAGTATGTAACTAACATGAATCCAAGCTTGTAAATATTTAAATAACAGAGTAAAACTTAGCTCCCTCATACCAACTGGTGCAGAGTCTGGCTTTTTCTTCCCAGAGATAAACACCTAAGTATATGAATTCTCCAGTACCCTTTCTAGTGACAGTACTTGTATCATTCATTCCACCTTTAATATTTGTTAAAAGCACTACACTCCTTTTTTATGTTCCCTGGGCACTTTAAATATTTCTTACCTACAAAATTTTTAAAAGAAATGGGTGAAGCCATAAAAATTAGTAATGGTGGGAAGTTGCTTCCCTTAAATCATTAACAGGCCACTGTTGTTTTTCCTTTGCAAGAAGACAAAGGATGGGGGRTGAGATGGATGGGTTTTGTCATACTACACTTATCTTCAATAATCATAACTGCACAGTAGCCCAGTGTGTGTCTGGGCCCTGGATTCAATCTGCAGCACTAAAATAATTCTAACTTTATTATTATTTTTGCAGTGCTTGGGATTAAACCTAGGACCTCGCACATGACAGGCAAACACTTTATCACTAAGCTGCACCCCAGCCCCCAGTTGCTTTTCTGATCTGGGGATAAATGAAGCCAGCCTGCTGGGACCTCTAAGAAGCCTCAGATGTACCCTGGGCTGCTGCCATGTGACACAGCCAAGGGGCTACCAACTGGTGATCAATTATATATATATATATATATATATTTTTGTTAGATGGACACTATACTTTTATTTATTTTTAATGGTGCTGAGGATGGAACCCAGGGCCTCACACATGCTAAGCAAGCACTCTCCCATTGAGCCACAACCCCAGCCCAGTGATCAATTTTTAAAGTTTCTTCTCCAATGTTGCTCAAACTAATTTATAAAACTAAAGTCCTAAATAATTTGCAAGTAATTACATATGCATGTTGCAACTGTGGTCTTTTTTTATTCTTTAGGCACATATAAACTACAACAAATGCTGAAGACAAAAATGGATCAAAATTAGCAATTAAAGAGAAAATTGGCGATATTGATAGCCATGTCAATGCCTGTAATACATTTCCCTTTAAGTAAGAAACAAACTACATGAAGATAACTATTATTTCATCCTAAACATAGCTGGGTTGATCACACCAGCAGTGACAGTTCAGTCCGAGGCAACCCCGCAGTGATAAAGCAGGGAAAATTCACACCCACACTTGATATGGTAACATGTTCCTAATATGTGCTGAATACAAATGTGCTGACTATCCCAATATCCACTTAAAATCATGTCTCTTGCTTAACTTTTAGGAATAACCTTTTTGCTGGCAGCACATGCATGTGAACCAAGACAGAAATGCACTGAAAGCTTTGGCTGAATTCTGCCAAGGAATGGAAGATCCCATACCCACCCCACTCACACGGCAGCATGAACACACGGAGGTAGGCGGCTGGGCAACTGGGAGTCTTAGGAGATATGGACAACACAGTAAAACTGCTAATTAGTAAGAGAACTAAAGGACCCTAACAAGTTATCACTTGGATCCACCTTTTTTTTACATCCTAGAATGAGAATGTCCCATAATTATTATAAGGACAGGACTTTGAAGGAGTTCTTGCAATCTAAAAATTTAAGAACTGGCATGGGGGCACTGGTTATAAGGGAATTCTATCCATGTAAAACAAATCCCCACCCATAATTATTATTATTTTTTATTTTTATTTATTTATGTGTTTATTGTTAAAAGAACTGTAGTTTATTTTAAATGCTATTACTTATTCAGCTTCATCTTTTAAAATAGTTTCCTTAGTTCTGCTGGGCAACTCAACCACATTTCCCTAGTTCACTCATTCTCCTACATGACTTATACTTTCTCCCATTAAACCCCAATAACATAACTTCCCACTTTTCTAAGGAAACAGCTCTCTAAGAGGATCCACAAACTCTTGCCATCCTGTATTCTGGCCTCCCTGGTAGACATCCAAGGCTGAATAGCCAGTGATGGATGGAAGACTAGTCCCCTGGCTCTCTGACTAAATCCCACTGCCCAATCTACTCAAGGGCCCACTCTAGTGGCTGCACCATTAACTTATTCTCTTTGTTTTGTTTTCTTTTGTTTGAGAGGCAGATACCAGGGATTGAACTCAGAGATACTCCACCACTGGGCCACATCCTCAGCCCTATTTTATTCAGAGACAGTGTCTCACTGAGTTGCTTAGTGCCTTGCTTTTGCTGAGGCTGGCTTTGAACTTGCAATCCTCCTGCCTCAGCCTCCAGAGCCACTGGGATTACAGGTGGGCACTACCACTCCAGGCCCATTAATGTATTCTCTTTGAAAGGATCATTCCCATCATTATACAAACATACTTCAATTTCTTTCATCCAAACAATTAAAAAATGTCTTACTTCACATGCCTCTCCTGTTTCTCTTTATAACCAATATCACCAGGAAAAGTTGTCTCTATTCCCATCTCCAATTCCTCTGCTTCCATTCTCCACTCAGGCTTTACCCCCCTCAATGAATTGAAGCAAGGTGACCAGATTGCCTGTGGCAATCTCACTGCCCAAACCACTAGTCAGCTTCCAGGGCTCACCCTGACCACTGTCAGCATCAGACATGGTTGAGGTCTAGGACACCTCTCCTAGTTTGTCTCCTACCAGGCTGCTTTGTCCTTTTTGTCCCCGTGGCTGGTGACCCCACATCTTCTTTGACTCTGTACTGAGTGCCTGCGACATTATCCTCAAACATGCCTGTCTCATGATATCCTCACAGCTGCAATACATTTCTCTCTGAACTCGAGAGGTTATGCAACTTGCCTATTACCCATGTTCATCTGGAGGTTTAAGGCATCACATCCTTAACATACTCCAAACCAAACTCCTGTTACTTCCCCAAAAATGCTGCTCCTCCTCATCTTCCCTATCTCAAAATGACAATTTCATCCTTTTAGTTGCTCAGGCAAAAATCCCTGGAAGTTATTCTTAAATTTTCTTTTTTTTTTTCCTTACCAATCCATCAACAAATTTTATTGCCTCTATCTTCTATATTCACAATCCAACCACTTTCCATCATCTCCACAGTGAGTGACCCAGACCAACACACCCTCCTCACTTCCTAGAGCATATGGCCTTCTAACTGACCACCCTCCTGGCCCCCAGACATTATGCAAGGTGGGTCGGATTTTTTTTTAATGCTGGGTGGAAAAAACATCTCAACTTTGAATATTTAGAAATATATATACATATATAATGTGACCTAGAAAAAAAATCAGAAGTTCCTGATTTGAAAGTTGCAATGAAAACTGTAATGCTTTCTGGCTAATGAGTCATTTCCTTCCTCATAATTTTTGTATTTTTTAAATAAGTATATTATTGTTTACATAAGCAGAAAAAATAAGTTATAACCTTTTTTCCACTAAATGTCCCTGTTTTTTGACCAAAGGAGAGGATATCTTATAGCAAAAGGAAACTGACTCCAAGAAGTTATGGCCTGTTTCCTAAAGATCTAGTTTAAAATTGGTTTTCTTTCCTTTCTTTATTATCATAACAATACACGGTCACTATAGAAACTTCACAAAAACAAAGAAAGAAGATAAAAACGACAACCCCACCACCCAATGATAACCACAGCCTATAGTCTTTAATTTTTTTCCTACATAGATGATGAATTCAGTCTTTTTTCTATTCAGCTGTTCATACTTCTTAAAAAAATAATGATAGGATCACAGCTTTTCATTTAATGTTAGATCTTGAATAGTTGCACAATTGCATACTATTAACATTTTATWAATAATCTTCTAATATTCACATTGACTTTTTCTAATTTTCCAAAATAATAAACTGCTGCAGTGACCATCTTTGAAGTTAATTATCTGTTCAAATTTATAATTACTTCCTTAAAATAAATCCCTATAAGTGAATTCCTTAGTATGAGAATTACATCTATGAGACTTTTAACACATATTATATATAACTGGCCCCAGAATGACTGTACCAATTCATATTGTCATCATTTTAGGAGAATGCCCATTATTCTAAGCCCTTATTATTTATACAAAAAAAAAATTATATATATATATATGGCTATACTTTGACAGGTGAAAAATGATACCTAATTTTCATTTATATTTTTATTTATATTTTTCATTTTTTCATATTTCCATTTGTTTTTTGGTCCATTTTTTTTTCAGTCAGGCTGCTCATATTTTCTTTTTCTTTAAACTTGTTTCATTTTATGTTGCAAATATTTTCCCCAGTATATTATTTACTTTCAGATTTTCTCTGCAGTATTTTGGTGTAAAAAGATTTTTATCTTTTGAAATCAGGTCATATCAAACTTTTCCTTTGATGTCCTCCCTGACATCGTACAGCCACTTACCTTTTTACCTTTGTTACCTTTGTTAGTTTATTGTTTTTTACATTAAGTCTTTAGTCCACCTGGAGTTGAGTTTAGGGGCTCTTCTCACCTGAGCGTCATATTTCACAGCAGCCGAGAGGAGAGCGATGGCGTTCTCCTCACAGATCCCTTGCTTGATGGTTTGTTGGCAGAGTTTTTTCAAACGATTTTCTCTATAAAATGTAGCCAAATCTAGCAATCCTGGTGGAAAGACATGTTTATTAGGGAACATATCTCAAGCATCCTGATTCAAATTCACTCAGCTGTGCACAGATGATCTTGACATGATTTTGAGCTGGAGGGTGTGGCGCTCCCTAGGAAGGCAGTTGAACTGAACTGTGTTTACAGTATCCAAATGGAGCAAAATGAAAATGGCTTTAATAATTTTCCTAGGAAAACAAAGAAAAGGAATGTGCCCCTTCCTTGCATTAGCTATAACTTTCTCTGCAGGTCATGCCCATCTGCACACGTTTTAAAGATAAAAGAGAGGTGTAGGGGTAACTCAGTGGTAGATGTGTGCTTGGTGTGCACAAGGTTCTGGGTTCAATCCCCAGGATGAGTAGTTAAAAGAACCAGCTTTCATGGGCATGTCTCTCTACTCCTCCCTACAGCCGAACTCCTAGAGTCCTCTGTACTTGCTGTCTTTTTTTCTTACTCCCAGTCTATCCTCAAACCATCCCAAGCAGAATCCCACTGCCACCCCTCACTGAAGTCATTGTCACTAATACCTTCTACAGTGCCAAACCGCAGGTCTGGTCTCCAGTTTCCTCTGACTCAACATTCACATGACATCTGATGTGGTTGATGATATGGTCTCCTTGGAGCACTCTGTTACTTGTTTGTTCTTCTGTTCTCCCTAATCACTCATGGGTTCCCTTGGTGGGCCATTTTTCCTGACTTCCAAATGTGTGGATGCCCCAGGGTTCGACCCTCAAACACTTATTCATTCATTTCCCCAAGTGAGTTCCAGCATCTGCTTCTATAGATCTGATGGTTCCTGTTATGTTACCTGTCATCTTCTTTCAAATCATCCAGTGGAGACTCAGTTAATTTTAATCTACCCTGAGGGGCATATGAAGTCCTCTAATTAGGAATGGTCTATTCACATTTAGAAGATCCTATTTGTTTTCATATATTGCTATCTGAATCTTCATTATAAATCTTGTTAATTAGCATAAAGAATAGCAGAATTAGTTTGTCACTGGTGAATGAATGCTGTTGAGGATATGTGGCTTGGCTAAAATATCCTGAATCCTTCTACCCTTGCACGGATGCAGTTCCAGCATTGTGAGCTCATGGTCTGACACCCTTGGTAGCGGTACATGTGTCAGGTCTTCAGTTAGTCCTGGGCTGCCACCTGATCAAAAGGTTAGCTGACTCTTGCTACCAGAATATTGTCACATCCACCTTAAGCTAACATTTCATACAAAGGTACTCAGCAGAAAGCCTAAGACAGAGAGCTGGGATTTCATCAATTTTAATGTATTGTTTTTGGGTCTACCTTCCTTCACTAATGTTTTTATACATGTGGTAGAATCTGATTGGAAACCCCCGCCATGGCAAATATTCTTAAAGCAAAGAGAAAAGGCCCATGGTCAGAAGAAGATAATGAAATTTTGAGAGTTGTGAACAGCTTGAATTGTTTTGGGTCAGTTCTTAAAACTCTCAAAGTCATACCAAATGCTCCTTGAACTTCAGACTGACATACACAAGCCCTGAATTGCTGCCCGGAGCCTGGATTCTGCACCTTCTCTAGGCACACCCACATCATGGAGTGGCTCAGGAGCCCCAGCCCACTTCATGATCACACTTTGGGCATCTGAGAACCTGGATTCCCTGCCTTGTTGGTCCTAAGGCCACGCATGTGTGAGGATTTCTTCCCCCTGGCAAGCCACACCACCAATGTGCAGATCACTGGCCCCAACAGGTGGCTCAGGTTGGGGCTGGCTGAAGTTTGGATATGCAGGCTGGGGTGCCCATATACCCCTTAGAATGCAGGACATAGCTGCAGTCTGGAGGCCAGGGATCCATCCTTCCTGCCACTGTGTTCTAGCCAGAACCAAAACTCAAGCCTAGCCCTTCAGTTCAAGGTAGGAGGAGGGAACATATTTTATCTGAAGTTTGTTAGCCTGACATATTACTTTAAATGTTAGAGGGCATGCAGGCTTCTATTTGAACTCTTGTCTTGGGTCCTACCAATGTTAAAGATGGGCCTATGAAAGAAACTGCCACTCAGATGTTTATGAAGCAGCTGAAATTCCTCTGGCTGCTCAAAGGCAAGAGTAAAACCTGTTGCTCTCCATCTCCCTCAGCTCATCCACTTCTTTTAACACAGCTGCTCAAGCCAAAAGCCTCAGTACAGTCATCCTCCCTTGCCTCGCACATCGGGTCCCATCCATCAACAAATTCCACCAGGTGCAGCTCCAAAGTAAATCAAGAACCTGACCTCTTTTTAGTACTTCCACTGCTAGACCCCAACCCACAATACCACCATCTCACACCTGAACCAGTATAACTACCAACCTCTTAAAAACAAAACATCTCCCCTGTGACAGAGTTGCTGCCTGTCTTTCCTCTTCACACATACACATACACACACACACACACACACACACACACACACACACACGCGCAAGCTCTCTCTCTCCCCAAATCATAAATGTTAGGCTGAGCCGTGGCCATCTGTAAATGTCCACTTTCCCAGCCTCGATCCCCTCTGGTCCATGGTCTGAGTGAGTGGACCCTCCTTAGAGACACTGAGGTTTTTGCCCTTTGTCCCTGTAAATCTGTCCCTCCCCCACACCCTACTGCCTGTGATGCTCCATCAACCTCTCATTTATCTATCCAGTCAACTTTCATGTGAAGTAGTAATGAGGGAAAACAGTTTGGATTCAGGGACTAGGGATGCAGCTCAGTGGTACAGTGTGAGCTTGGCATGCGCAAGGCCCTGGCTTCTATCCCCAGCACCTACCAACATCAGCAAAAAATTGGGTTGAACACACAAAAAAGAACTCCTGTGGTTATCCTCACAGTGACTTTTCTTTAGGTTCTACAGAAACCATATGAAGTTACTCGACATTTGGCCCACTTTGTGGTAAACTCTTTGGCAGTTACCTACTGCCTCCTCAGGGGAGAGGCTGATGCTGTCTGTGTAGAGGTATTCCAGGAAAGCTCGGTACACGGGATATGAAAATTCACTCATTTCTACAATATCATCCTCGTTGTCTTCCAATGAAGAACGAAAATGCTCACACCTGAAGGAAGAAAGAAGCAGGTCAGGTCCCACCTTCTAGGCTAAGTTAACTGTACACTTTCCCGTGTGCTATAGTTTGGATGGTGAATGCCCCCCAAAGGCCCCCTATTAAAAGGCTTGGAGGAGGTGGTAAAAACTTAACAGGTGGGACCTAATTGGAGGCCTCAATTCACTGTGGGTATGTGCCTTGCAGAGGCCCCTTTCTCCTTCTCCTTCATTCCTGGCTCCTGGTGTAAGCAGTTTTGTTCCCCCATAGACTCCTGATAGAATATGCTACCACACCCACAGGCCCAAAGCAATCATGGATGGACTGGAACCTCCAAAATAAACCAGTCAAAATAAACCTTTTTGGTTAGAGGTGTAGGCTTACTGGTAGATCACATGCTTATTAGCATGTGTGAGGACCTGTGTTCAATCCCTAGCACCAAACAAATCTTTTGTTTTATAATTTAACTACCTTAGGTATTTTGTTAGAGTTCCAACATCCTTGCCTGGGTTCCTTGCATTCTTTTCTGGCCTGACACTTTCAAACAATCATTTGTACAACGAGGCTGCAAATGCAAACCCACTGTCATGGCGGCAGGCAGCTGCCTCTGGCTGCAGTGGTGAAGATGCTGCCGGGCTCCCTGGCATCTTTCTCACACCACACCTACCAACCAGCATTTATAGAAATCAGTAAGGCTTATTTTTATAAATCTGAGTAATTTTGTATCTTCACTCCATTACAGTTTGGACGTGTCCCCTAAAAATTCTTATGTTGAAATCTCAACATCCAGACCAGCAAAATGTGACCTTATTTGGAGACAGTGTCTTTACAAAGGTGATCAAGTCAAGATGAGGTCATCCAATATAACTGGTGTCTGTACAAGAGGGGGGAATTTGGACACTGACGCTCACGGGGAGAATGGCATATGATGATCTGAGTTAAGCTGGCACATGCCAAGGAATGCCAAAGATAGTTGCCAACCACTAGAAGCCGGGAGAGCCTTCACAAGGAAACTTTCTGCCTTGACCTTGATCTTAGACTTCTAGCCTTCAGGCCTGTGAGAATAAATTGCTGTTGTTAAAGCCACCTGTGTGTAAGTACTTTGTTACAGCAAACTAATTCACCCCCTTTTTAAAAATGAAGATCTATGTGCTATGGCAAGAACCAACATGGCCCAGCTTGACCTTACTAATGGGAAACTTAAGACTGAATGCCACATTGGGTTATGATTCAATGAAATAGGATTTAAATTATGTTACTCAACAGCATGATTAATTTCAAAATCATAACAGTAAGAGGGAAAAGTCAGGCACAAAATAATGTATATTGTACCTTTTCATTTAATATGAACTTCGAGAAAATGCTAACCCATCTATGGTGGCAAATCGATCACTGGCTGCCCAGGCTGGTGCCTGAGGGCCTCTCTGAGGGTTGACATAAATACTCTATATCTTGAGCAGGGCAGTGGTTTCACAGGCGTGTACATATGACAAAACTCATCAAACAACACATTTGAAATGGATGCCATTCAGTGTTCATAAATTAAACAAATTTGATTCTAAAAATCATTGTGTTAGTGTCACTCCAGATCTTGTTGGTCTGGAAAAGCCTGATCTTCTCTTTTTAAAGCACCTAAAAGTTAAGCGTCCCTCAGCTAATTGAGGAGAGTGATTGCCACGGGCTGAGCTCAGTTCCCAGGCAGGGAAGGTCACTTGAGAAGGGAACTCTACCATGTGCAAAGCTCAAAACACACTCACCAAGCAGCAGGAGAGGCTGCTCTCTAACATGAAGGTGGACAAAACATTCTTTCAGGTGTTCTAAGGAATGCCTAAGGGACTGATTCCCCAAACCACATGCCCTGCACTTGTCACACCTGACCTGTATTATTTCTTGTTTCCCTTGTCATGTATTTCCTAATCTACACTCTGCAGAGCCAAAAGAATCTTGTACTTTTTCATTATCAATTAAGTGTCTAGCTCAGTTGTCGAATGAAATGGATTGATCTCAATCCTCAAAACAAATGATTCCTTACCTAATTTTGAGAAGGACTTTATGTGCATAAATGTATTTTCCATCAACCAGAAACTTCAGGTCTGCGGTATCTGGGTTGTCAAATTCTCTCTTCAGTGACTCAGCCACGGTGAGGTGGTCATCGGGTTCTAAGAGAATAACACATGCTTCTAGGCTCAGCTGCAGACATGACAACCACACAGGCCAGGATGGGGCCTTGCTGATGACACTGATGAAAATATCAGCTCCCTGAAAGAACTGACCAACTAACCAATGCTTTCCCCCACCTCGATACAGATTTGCATCTCTGCAATTCATGAAGATAAAAAACCTCACACAAAACTGCTTATAGAGTTGGCCAAACAACAAAAAGTCCCAAACTACCTTACTAATTTTGAATGAAATTTTAGAATGTCTGAGTAAAATAAAGGATGCAGTTTCCCAGCAAAATTAAAAAATAGTCAAATAAAATTACTTTAAACTTAGTACTGATTCATTCCTGATACTTCTAAGAAAAACTTATCATTCAAGTTAGTTCCCTTTCACAGAAACCCAGTAGAAGGAAATAAACTAATATCCTGCACCTAATGGAGTCCTTATATCAAAATAAAAGCCCTGAACCTCTTCCTAGTTTTCAGGCCATGTTCCAAATGGACAGGGTCCAGCTCACCCACTGAGAGGAGGCGCCAAGTGACAGCAGGAGTGGCAAAGCACGCAAACACGTCGTCGGTGCAGGAGAAGTGGGTGAGGTGGGGCAGGATCACCGACTGGCCCCGGCACTGGCCCCACATGTACACGTGCCCTCCCTGGGTCTTGGCAGCAGATGTGTGGGCGGAGTGACAGGCTGCAATCTCTATGATCCTAAATTCACAAGCAAACACCACAGAAACACAGTAAACAGGAGAAGAAACAAGCTGGTCTCTACTTCCCCTATGTTTAATTGATTTGGGGCATCACAAACCTGACAGAAGAGTGTGGCCTCAGGATGAAAAAAGTCAACAAAACAAGACTTAAGTACCTCACTTCCTAAATTTCAGCCACATTTCAGTGGCACTTATCAGGATCTGTTTGTTACCATTTCTAGCCAGTAGGCCCATAAAAACACATACTGCCCTATTCAAGTACAGCCAAGTCAAGTGGATATCAAAAAGAAAAAAAAAAGAAGATTTAATATTTTTTTGTTCCTAAAACATTACTCTGAAATAGATAATAAAGATGTACACTATCTTGAGCCAGAGTCAATGAGTAAGTATTTTGATCAAAACTTTGCCTATGTGGGATGTGGGCATAATAGCTCAGTGGTGCAGTATGTGCTTAACATGTGTGATCGTTTAAGTTCAATCCCAACACCACAGACAAAAACAAAAACAAAACTCATCTATTTAGGGCTCAAGGGAGCGTGCTGAGAATCCTCCCAACTCTGATGGCACATCAATAGCTTTGTTTTTTTGGGGTGAGGAGATTTCTGGTGCTAGGGAGCAAACCCAGGGCCTTGTACCTCCTAAGCAGGTGCTCTACTACCGAGTGACATCCCCAGGCCAAATTCAGTAGTTCTGCTCACTGGGCTGTATCATCTGGACCTGGAGAGCAGTTTCCTGGGCTCTCCTGTGACAGACCCTAGTACTAGCATAAGTTCATGATTGACAGGGAGGTAGTTCTCAGAACACTTCCTGATGGAAAATATTGCTCTGTTGGTCTGGAAACAATTCCTTCTCTGTAAGAACAATCCACCATACAGACTCAAAGAAGATAGGAAGCACTTTTGCCTCAAGTGAGGTCTCCATCTGGATTTTGCCCCTACAGGCCGTGCCCCCAGTAACCTCAGAGATGKACTCGACTTCCTCCTCACTTGCCACTTTCTTCAAAACAGCCAGTTGACAAACTAGGCAGATTCTTTCTTGGTGATGTCTTACATCAGCCCCAGCTGGGCAGGCACCCTCACCCCAGCCCCATCTGGACACCAACAATTTCATATTCTGTCTCTCCTCAGCCCCAGATCCATCTTGCTGGCAGGGGGACAATCCTCCTAAGACACTGTTCTCATGAGTACTTTTGGACCTGCAGGGGCTTCCCACTGGATGAAATCCAGAAACAGGACCCTAAGGCTTCCATATCTGGGCTTCCACTCCCTGCAGCCTTCCAAGTCACCTCGGTCTCCACTCTATATGGTCCAAATATCTCACTGCCCTTGAGTCTCTTTAGTCCTGGTTGTGGTGCTTGTTCAAAAACACTCCCTTTGTCTCTGCCTTACAAAAACTGCACATCTTATAAAGTCCAATACAAACAGCCCCACAGGAGAGGCCCCTCTCTCACCTGAGCTCTTGCAGCACATCCTGGCCCAGATGTGTAAGATTCACCTGTCCACCCAGATTACATGCTCCTGGCAGGCCAAATCGCTGGCTTATGTCTCTCTCAACACAGTGTCTTACTAAATACTATCTACAGGTCATTTTACTGGCTAACTGAGGACGACTCAACCACACACAGCAGCTGAGGGTTGGGTAAGACCCTGCTGGCCAAGTGCTAGCCGTGGAAGAGTGCAGAAATCCTCTAGTGCCTGCCTGACACAGATGTTTCCAATCATGAGGGAAGGTGTGCATCCTACATCCTGGAGGCTATCCGGCTGCTGTCCTCACAAGGCCAAGCAATTTCACTGATTTATCTGAGGGCAGCTCTCACCTCTTGAGAACCCATGGATACTAGAGGAAAAGCAGCTACAAAGCACCACTGTGGAGAACCAGGGCTTTGGAGTCACGTAGACCAGGGTTTGAACCCAGCTCTCCAGCTAGGCTGTGGGGCTCAAGGAATGTCACTTAGCCTCTGGGGGCCGCAGTTTCATCACACTGCAGGGCTAATTGTAAGAATCACTTAATAAGATGCTAAGTAGCTGGCGCAGTGGCACATGAGACTTGGGAGCCTGAGGCAGGAGGATCATTAGTTCAAAGCCAGCCTCATCAACATCGAGGTGCTGAGCAACTCAGTGAGACCCTGTCTCTAAATAAAATATAAAATAGGGCTGGGGAGGTAGCTCACTGGTCAAGCGCCCCTGAGTTCAATCCCAGGAACCAAATAAATAAATAAGATACTAAGTGTCAAGCATGAAGTCTAGGATGCAAATGGGAGCACAATTTAATACTCGTAACACAGTCAAAGGACAGGGTTACAACAATTTAGTTGAAACAACCTTCATAGGCTTTGTTTTCAATTCTAGAATTGGATAATACTTCACTTCACAATATACAGTAAGGGTTCCAATGGGCTGAGCAAAGGGGGCTGGTTTCACAGGCAGAGAAAAGCAGAAAGTAGGTTAATCGTTCCAAAATTACTATCCTAGTAAAGTTGGGACAGAGACAGAAAAATGGGGTGAAAAAAAGATGTAGGAGCAAGATTAATGGTTAATGTTGGCTTACTTCAGCTTACCTTTTTTGTGTAGGGACTAAGCATTACCAGGAAATGGGCCTGTTCAGGAAATTAGGCTGTTATCTCTCTGATTCTAATTTCTCAGAAAATCAGATAAATAGTGTAATATCAACTTAGTGACTTGAAAGTTAGCATGTCTCCATTTTGGTTTTTAGTCTGGTCTGCTGGGGTCCTGGGCAGGAGTTTAGTCCCAAACAATGGCTGCCTGTATTTTTTCTTAACACTRTTACTATTCAGCATTTTAAGTGACAGTATCCACCTTAGACTATATACATATCAAATGATCAGTTAAGATTACTAAACCCTCCCTAGACTATTCCTCTTTTAGCCTGGAACAGTGGTGCACACCTGTAATCCTAGCTACTTGAGAATCTGAGACATAGGGATTGCAAATTTGAGGCCAGCCTGGCCAATTTAGCCAGACCCTATGTCAAAATAAAATGCTTGCACTTGTGGCTCAGTGGTAGAGCGCTTGCCTAGTATAAGTGAGTCCCTGGGTTCAATCGAGAGAGAGAGAGAGAGAGAGAGAAAGAAAGAAAGAAAGAGAAGAATCCTAGAGCGCTTGCCTAGTATAAGTGAGTCCCTGGGTTCAATCGAGAGAGAGAGAGAGAGAGAGAGAGAGAGAGAGAGAAAGAAAGAAAGAAAGAAAGAGAAGAATCCTTCTCTAACATTTGCATGGTTAGGTCAGTCGAATGGCTCCAACTCTAATCCAGTGCTCTGCAAAAGAGCTTTGCCTGATGGGAAAATGGTACATATTACTTGGCTTCCCAATAGGCACATTCATTTTAACAAATAAAGAAAATGGGAGAAGGAAGTAGAAAAATTCATCTAATCAAAGGAAAGCAGGTCCACTGCTCCCATCTATTTTACAGACAAGGCTCTGTGTCACTCTCGGATATTAGGCAAGAGCTCTTCCACCCACCTGCACCTCCAATCCTCACTCCCCCAATGTGAGCACAGCAACACCAGTCCTCTGGGGTGGTGGGAATGAGCTCCGAAGCAGCTGGTCTGAAGAGGGCAAGTTTTYATTATCAGTTTCATCATCTTTTTAAAGAAAAAGAAAGATGTAGAAGGAGCAGGATCCAAGGTAGCCACCACCTCACAGGTTTGTGGTGTGGAGGAAATGAAGTAAGGTACCCAGCAGAGTTAGGCATGAAAAATGGCTTATTTCCATGACAAAAGTGTGTTCACAGCTAGTACAGAACTGAGAAGTCACAGATCTGTGGCACCAAGACAACCAGCAAATAACAGGAGAGTGTGTCCCAGAGCTTCAGGAGCAAGGAAGGAACCCGAGCACCTGCTGGGTCCTGAGGCCTGTCAACAAGAACTGGGCACCTGCAGAGACGCTGCAGCCTGCATGCAAGCAGAGGGCGGAGCAGCAAGGCTGGAGGGAAGTGCTCCCTGAAGAGACAGGTGGGTGACACTGGGGGCAGGGGCCTAGAGTTTGCTGGGAAATTCTAAGCCCAAAGCCAAAGTTCAGTTTTGATATGATGTGACAGAGAAATGGGAAACAGCTCTGTGAACCAGGCCATGAGGTGAGGAACATGGTGTTCTGGGAAGGATTAATCTGACCAGCAGTGCAAGAAAAACTGAAAGGGAAAGAGAGAACAGCCTATGAGGCTGTTTGGGAAGGTGAGGCCCATGGCAGGACACCATGACATCCAAGTCAGGCTGCCAAGAATTCAGGGTGGCCTGGCAGAGGAAGGAGAGGAGACCAAGATGGCCCCAGAGTGGGAGCCTAAGAAAACCCTGCCTGGACCTGCTGAGGGAAGCAGAAGCAGCCCTGGGCCAAAGGCAGTGGTGGGCTGGACATATTGATGGCTAAACAGTAAATAAAAGAGAAAAAAAAGGCCTCGGGCATTTTAACCACCTCAGTGGGAAAACCCTGTGGGAGTCTCTGGGTGGGTGAGGCTTTCAGGCCAGCCCAATGGCCTTTCCAGGAACATGAATGAAGTGCGCTTGCTGTCCCCCTACACAAGCACTATTGCAATCACCTGCGAGGCAAAGACTTTTCTTCAGGAAAAAAAAAAAAAAAATTCTGTGTACTTTTTTAAAACGACAGCAGATTCCTGCCACGCACAGTGGTACAGGCCTGTAATCCTAGTAACTCAGAAGCCTGAGGCAGAAGGATCATAAGTTTGAGGCCAACCTGGGCAACTTAGTGTCAAAACTAAACAGGGCCAGTGATGTCGCGTGGTGGTAGATCACCCCTGGGTTCCATCTCCAGTACAAAAAAAAAAAAAAAGGACAGATTCCCTTTTCCCTGATGATGCTTCATGAAAAATGTCACCAAGAGGCACAAAATAGTGTGCTTCTGTACAAAATTACCCAACACTAGAAAATGGAAATAATTTAGTCCCTGCATTCCCTTCTGAAGTGTCTCTGAGCCTCCCCAGGAGAGAGCAGCCTTGGTCACACAACAGCTGGTGACCCAGGAGGAGCTGGGACAGGCAGAGTGGAGAGGATGGGGAGGGGCACAGGACAGTGCTAGGCTGTGCTAGGCTTGGCCTCTGCGAGTCCCAATGGGGAGGGGCAGGGGGGAGCAGGGGCAGGGGTAAGGCTGGGCTGACAGCAGGAAGGTGGAGAAGGTTTAGAGGGAGCTTTCAGGTGGAGGCTTGGGACCCAAGCAACCACCAAGGGACCTGGCCTTTGCCTTGGGTTGTGGTTTGTGAGTATGATTTCATGCCCAGAAGCAAATTCTGAAGCTCAGATTTTCCAGAGTTACAAACAACAATGACTACAAACTCACTAACTTTCACCTTTAGAGTAGCCAGCATATTTCACATTTTATTTTGTAGCCAACCTTAATATGGAAAAGAAATGACTACATGATATTGTTTTGTTTTGTTTCTTGTCCTGAGGATTGAACCCAGGACCTCACATGTGCTAGATAAGTGCTCTGTCACTGAGCTACACCCCCAGTCCTTTTTATTTTATTTTAATACAGAGTTTTGTGAAATTGCAGAGGGTGCCCTCCAATTTATGATCCTCCTGACTCAAATCTCCTGAGCAGCTGGGATTACAGGGTGTGTGCCACCACACCCAGCTCAAAAAAAAAAAAAAGAAAGAAAGAAAGACTACATATTCTTAATAAATAGGTTTTGTGTCATCTTGACAGAATAATCTGCAACAACTGCATAGCTTAATAGCTGTGAAGTACTAGAAATGAAATACCATTTAGTGGAAAAAAATGTAAAAACAGAAAACAAGGATGAGCAAAGGGAATTTATGAGGGAGAAGAATAGGAAGAATAAAGAACAATAATTCTTGTAAAAGACCCAGAGCAGTGATTCCTACTCTTAGTTTTTTAAGAGCCCAAAGTTTTACCAATTACCTCAAGGTGTTGCAGAATTCTGAAAACTTCAAGCTAGTTTTACATCAATTTAATTACAAGTATGCTTTTATGTTATTTTAAGAACAAAGGTACAGATGCCAGTCAACCAAGTACCAAAGTATTGAAACTTGAGAAAGACTGGGAATGACGGGTTAGAGAGCAGATAATCATCTTAATTATTAAAATTACTTTTAGGTAAGCATAAATTCCTGACAAACACTAGTGTTTTTCTTCCAAAATAGACCTCTMTGGAAAAAATTTATTCTTCTTTCACTTTGGTGAATAGGCACCTAAATCACAGACCCACCCTGCCCCACCCAAATTCAATCTTATTCTTAATTAGTCAAGCTTCCCTGGGACAAGCCCTAGCAGAGTCAGAAGGAAAATTTTTGGGAAAGAAGTCTTGACCTGCCCAGGAAGTTCAGTCACTTGAAAGCGTGGAGAGGTAGAGAACAAATCCAGCGCAATTAGAAATTCCTCCCTTGCTATGTGCACATGTGCATGAGGCCCACTGACTCAGTTCAGGCTCAGAAACCACTGCCTGAAGTTCAAACCTTGAAAACTGACAAACAAGGATATCTCATTTATATCTCTGTGACTTTTACAAGCCAAAAATGTTTATGAAGACAACAGCAAATGCACAAGTACAGATCTAGCTCTACCTTTTTTACAAATACAATTCAAAAAATAATTGCAGGTTTAAACGTCAGAAAGGCAACAGTAGCTCTCAAGGTCCAGATAAGCAACTGCCTCACACCACTTCCACTCCCTGCTTCTCTGCTTCCTTTTCTTTTTCCCACCTTGATGCCCCATAATCTATCCCAGCACCAACCAGTCAGAAGACCTGGGCCATCCTCTGCACAAGCAGTACAACATGAGCAAGTCACTGGTAGACGATGACAATAGATCCCAGAGGTAGGTGGATTAAGTTTTTGATAAATGTGGAAATACCACAAAGAGGGGTACAGTACCAGCCAGGCATGCACRCCTATAATCCCAGCTACTGAGGACGCTCATAATTTTGAGGCCAGCCTCTTATCAAAAATTTAAAAATCATATTAAAAAGGGGTGGGGATGTAGCTCATGGTAAAGTGCCCCTGGGTTCCTGGCCCCRTACCAAAAAAAGAAAAAGTGGTAAAAGTCATATAAATATATGGTTTTTGTTTCAAACTACACTTTGTTGTTTAGGCTAAGTGCTAATGTCCCCATTGACTGGATTGGCAGTCCTGAAGCATTTTTGTGGCTATTCAGAGCTTCCTGGCTCCTTTACAAGATAAAGCAAATGACGTGGGGTAACCAGCTCCTACCAGGGTTGCTTTAATGGGTCAAGGGTCTTATTCTAAGAGTTTTGGTGAAAACAGTTTTTAAAAACCTATTCAACTTAGGGTAAATAATAGCAACTGAATTCACATACATAAATGAAAAGTGAGGTGTTGAGAAACCACTATTTGGTCACTTTTGTTAAGTATTTCAACAGAAAAATATAAGAGAACTTTATATAAGTGCCAACTAATCTATTTATCCATACATCTATTTTTAAAGCAAGTATAATAAAATTGTGCAAAAGTTTTTTAAAAAGTAAAAATTTCTATAATAACTACAACCCTGGTTTAAAGGAAAAGACAATGAAATGTTTTTGCTTCACACTAGGGTCAAGAAAATGTGATATTTATACACAATGGAATATTACTCAGTCATAAAGAAGAATGAAATTTGCCATTGGCTGGTAAATGGGCGGAACTGGAGATTACCATGCTAAGTGAAATGAGCCAATCCTTCAAAACCAAAGGCTGACAGTTCTCTCTGATTTGAGGATGCTGGCACACAATTGGGGGGGGGAGGGCACACGATAGAGTACAAGGAATTGGACATAACGTTCCTATGTTCGTACATGAACACATGACCAGTGTAACTCCACATCATGTTTGACCACAAGAATGGGATCCTAATTAGAATAAGTTATACTTCATGTATGCTTAATATGTCAGAACGCCCTCCACTGTCATGTATATCTAAAAAGAACAAATAAAAATTTAAAAGGAATCAAAGAGCAAAAAAAAAAAAGCCAGTGATACGGCCACACCTGAGAAATTCAGAGGGCTTACAAAAACGTTAGGATAATTTGGAAACTACTTCTGGATGCACTAATGACTTAACTCAACCTTATAAACAAGTGCACAACACGAAGTCTTAATATTTAAACCATTTTACTCTTCCCATAGCTTTAGCTTGGGAGTTAAAGTGATGAACTGCCCCAGGTGTTTTCAACTGGCAAATTTCATAAGCAGCTGAGGAGCGGCCTCACAGCCCATTCAGGGCCCTCACTGCCCCACACCAGACTTCCAATGTTATCAACTTCCCTTCAAGTGTGAAAACCAAAAGTAACAGAAGGGAGAAAAGGTATGTGTGAGAGGGAGAGAACGGCTGTTGTAAGTTTGGTCATTCTAGCTCGCACTGAGTAGCTACTGGAGGTATAAATGAAATACAGCTAAGTGAAGATAGGCTATTTAATACAGTCAACCTTCCCAACAATTGATAAGCTGACTTTAAAAAGGGAGTGGCTCCTCTGCTTAAAGAACATTGTGATGGTAGTAGCAAATGGCACACAATTCTAAATCACATCTTGGGAGACCAGAGGGTTATTTTGAAAACACACACATTACCTGTCCTTTTCCACAACGACAGGGGTAGGGTAGGACTGGTTACTTTTATTGCCAGTGCCCAACTGGCCGTAAGAATTTGCTCCCCAAGCATACACTTGACCTTCATCTGTTAATACTAACGTGTGTGCATAGCCACAGGCAACCTGGAAGGGGAACAAAACAATCCTCTCAGACCTACAGAGAGAAGGAAATGTCTCACGACTCCCACCCACTAGGTTAAAAATCAAAAAACAAAGCAAAGGAAAAGGCAGGCAGCCCATATGGGAGACGTTAAGCTAACCAATACTCTACCCTCCCAATACTCTACCCTCCCAATACTCTACCCTCCCAATTCTCGCATGGGCTTCCCAGAGGGTGGGCAGGCAGCAGAGGCCAGAGCCCAGTTCACTATGACCTTCACATGGTTTTCTTCATGCTCACAGAAACCAAGGGGTGTGGGCTGAATGTAAGAAAGAGATACTTTTATTCCTTTTTCTGATTATTAGAGGAAATGTACTCAATGCAGAAAATAAAATATAAATATGAAAAAGTACTCTTTTTAGTTGTAGATGGACACAATGCCTTCACTTTATTTATGTTGATGTGGTGCTGAGGATCGAACCCAGTACCTCACATGTGAGAGGCAAGTGCTCCACACTGAGGTACGGCCCCAGCCCCTGAAAAAGTACTCTTAAGATCAGGGTTGCTTTTTTTCTCCTATTTACATAGAGACAGATATATGCATCATAACTTTTAATGATGACATTGTATATGCAGTTCTGTATCTTGTTTCTTTTCACTTACTGTTACAAATAGACTTTCTCCTATCCTTTAGAATTCTTTGAAAACATCATTTCCATCATATAGACTTGGAATAACCTCTCTAATCAACTTATTGTTCTATTAGTCCTTTTTTAAATTTTTTTCTTTTTCTTAACTAATTCGATAGATTTTTTCTTTGGTTCCTTAGGACAGTTTCCCAGGGGTAGAATTTTAAGTCAAGAGATCTTAAGATTTCTAAGGCTCTGAAACATCGTGCCAAAGATTCTTCATGAAAAGCTGTAACAACTTGTATTCCAGAAGCTATGCATGACAGTACCCTAGAAGTAGACATTTCCTGACAGGTACAACTTAATTTGGGGAAAAAGAGCCTTAACTTTTACTTCAGTGAAAATATTCAAGGAGCTGATCTTTTCATTCGGCTAAGAACACTACATTTTAATATACCAGTATCTTTGCCACCAAAGATCAAAACATGCGCACTCAGACCAACAGTGGACATACCCGCTGGACACGAATGCCTTGCAGAGCTGCCACCCTGCAGGGGGTTGGCTGGTTGCCACTGCTGCCAAGTCCCAGCTGCCCGTTCCCATTGTAACCCCAGACGTAGACCTAGGAGACGAGAAACACAGAGCTCACGGAAGACAGATGCCAGCCCAGTGCTGTTAGGAGAAACATGCCATGCTCACCACACTGATGTGTAAAAAGCTTTTTAAACAAAATGTGAAATAACCTTCCTACCTCCCCAGTGTCCACTACTGCCATTGAGCACATCTGTCCACACGCTATGTTCATGACTACTTTATTCTGTAAACAGCCCGTGACTCTTCGAGGGATTGGCTGATTTGCTGTTGACCCAGATCCTACCTGCCCAGAGTTATTATAACCCCAGGCAAATACCTATGTGAAAGAAAAGGTTGACAAATGAAACGTGTTAATTTATAGAGTCTCAACTGGACGCTGACAGATGCTTACAGCACCTCACCGTTTCTCCAAAAGAGCCTCAGAACCAGAAATTCTCACATGCATAGGCAAAGAAATTCTTAGAAAAGTCATTCTTACCCAATGTATTATTTTATGAAGTTAGATAATAGGTGTTATCTACCTAAACAGTAATAATTACAATCAAATGTCACATAAGACAAAAATATCTACTTTGCTTCAGCCACATTTTTCGACATTTCTGAATTTTTTAAAAAATAAATAAACTCAGGCTGGGGATATAGCTCAGATGGTAGAGGGCTTGCCTTGCATGCACAAGGCCCTGGGTTCAGTCCCCAGCACCACATAAATAAATAAATAATCTCTTCACTATATAGAAGAAAAAAAAAAACATCTTTTTAAATTTTGCAGCAGGGCTGAGGATAACACTCAGTGGTGGAGTGCTTGCCTAGCATGTGTAAAGTGCTGGATTCAAACCCCAGCCCCACACAAAATAAATAAATAAATAAATTTTGCAGTGATGTAAGTCCTTAATACATACAGGTAAACTTCATAATATAAATACCACGACTAAGAATTGTTACCAAGAAGAAGACTGAATTTGAGGGGCAATTATTTTAATCAAACCATCACATTTCCACGACTGCTAAAGGGATCTATAGAATGTTTTATATATATATGTATATATTTGAAATCAATGAGCTTTTATGCTGAATGTTCTCACCTCTCCATCAGCTGTTAGGACCAAAGAATGGTAGGACCCACAGGCAACTTCAATGACTTGTTTATTTGACAAATTAGTAGAGATGTGACAGGGCACTAAGCCATGATTCGTTGTCCCGTTGCCCAGCTGGCTGTAAGCATTATGACCCCAGGTGAAGACTTCTCCTTCTGCAAATAAAAGAGACAAAAACCAGCTCTTAAAACATCTGCTTCATTATATGAAATTATAGACTGCACAACTGCTACAAATGAAAACTAAAAACTCAGCTGCAAAGAGCTAATCAATTTCCTTAGTCTACCAAATTCATTCTGTAAAAGAATCTATTTGGAAAGTATAAACTGCCTTCTACCTCAAAGAAAAAAAAAAGATAATATTTAAATTCACACAGTTATAATAGCTGTACGATAGGTTTTAATAATCAGCAAAGAAAAAGTTTCTAAAAATAATGGACAAAATATTAGATTGAAAGTTAAGAGATTGTAAAGCTACTTAACTTTTCTGGATCTTAGTTTCCTTATCTATAAAATGATCACTAAGTTAGTTATTACCTTATTTATGTGCAACATACACAGGAAAGTTCATTAAACAAATATTACAGTTTTATGACTAATTATAAAGCACACATCCATATAGGACTACTCATGTCAAAAATATAAATTATGATTACCCCTAAAGACCCCTCATATATGCCTCTTGCATAAAAGAATTTTTTTTTTATGTTTTTTGACTTTATTTATTTTACTGGGGATTTAACTCAGGGCTGCTGTCCCACTGAGTTACACCCCCAGTCCCTATTCTTTAAATCTGATCTTGAGACAGGGCCTTGCTAAGTTGCCCAGGTGGGTGTCCAGCTTGCAATCTTCCTGCCTCAGCCTCCTGAGTAGCTGAGATTACAGGTGGGTGCTGCTGCACCTGACTTCCTGGTTTTAAATTTTACATAAATGGAATCATATGGTGTATACTCATTGAAATGATCAGTCTGTTCTTTGTTTCTGTTTTCTTCAGCCCTTTTCTTAAACAACCTCCTCTGCTCAGCTCACCAGGACACACATGCTAATTTATGGAAAGAATTATTGCCTGATTCTAAAATCRGAAAGAAAAGCCAATCAAGATCTTTAAACTAGTTGTAAAGCATTCTGGTGCCTTGTTTCCTGTGTGCCTGGCTCTCTTAGTCCGTGTGCTGCTCATTGCCATTGACCTTAAGGTTGTGGTCGCCTCAGGCCGCAGATGAAGGTCCTTCCTCTAGAGGTGGTCGGCGTTAACTTCTACCAGTCCAGGACCTCTAAGAAATTCAGTGTGAGATTTCTTGAACCATCTAGTCTAATGTGAGTTAAACCATCCACGGGGGTCCTCAGGGTGAGGGTTTATTTCATTGCTCTTTTTTCCTGCCTATTTTGCTCAGGGCAAATAATTCTGTTCAGGCCTCAGGAAGTGGTCAGTCCTTTCCTGAGCCGGCACCTTTTGTGGTCCCAGCCTGCCTGGGCGGTATTCTATGATGCTCCTGTGAGGCAGGACCTTGATGAAAGTCCCTTCCCTTCTGAGTACTGCCAAACCACAGGTCAGTGGCAATGGAGTGGCAGAAGCCTTGAGAGAAAAATGGCTTCAAGTTCTCTTCTAATCTCTTAGTTAACACTTTCTATTAAATCTAGTCTGATAATTCCTTTCTGCCTTGTCAGTGCTTTATAAAGTTATTTTTAAAAAGAAAATATTTTATCTAGAATTTGGTAGTTTTCAGAGAAGAGGCAGTCTGAATAATCTAACCAAGTACTGCAAACCAAAAAAAAATCCCTAAAACATAATTTTTAATGTGAAATAAACATGTAAATGAATATTTATGAAATTTATTTTCAGTTTAAAAAAATACAAATAAAATGAATACTAAACTTAAAGAAAACTCCACAGTGTCACTTAATTACAATATCTCATTTAGAATCCATGAGCTGGCCATGAGCATGTTCAATTCCTTGGATTACTAATGCCAACTAAAACCTTCCATCACTATTTAGTGTAAAAGCAGCACAGAATGAAGCATTACAGGGGATGCTGGAGTCAAGGGTTAGTCTCTCAATTCATAGATCAGGAATTTAAAGCTCAAAATGTRGATTTCCCAAGGTCCACAGGGAGTGCAGCACCTCCTACAGTGGTCATACCTCTAAACAGAAGGGGTTCACTGGGCCTAATGTGTTGTCGTTCACTCATCTTACATGCCAGTAAATGCTAGATTCTATCTGCTGGATCATCTTACACTGATATTCTGATACATTCCCATTTCGTGTTGTCCAGCTCATGGTCAAGTTCATAGGACAGTGCCAGCAACGCTCGCCCCATCAGAAAATACGTTCTAGATTTCAGGAGCGGGACTCRATTTGTTTCTCAACAAATAGAGCAATGGCTAAAACTCTCCACTGAATATCTGTTACCTGTTGTTGCCAGGACAATGTGTGGACCGCTTCCATAGCTGAGACAGGCTATCTTTTTGCCACTTAAAGAATCCAGTCTTCGAGGTTCAATGGTGCTCTGGACATCACCTAACCCYAGACAGCCACTGCAGTTCGTGCCAAGCACAAAGATCTGTGGGAAAAACAACTGTTGGTTCAAACATCTCTATTTTTGATGAGCCTATAAGTTTCACTTAAACAGGCACAGTCTTCTGAAAGCAAACTGCTTTTTTTTWAAATATTTTTTTTAGGTGTAGATGGACACAACACAATGCCTTTATTTTTATGTGGTGCTGAGGATYGAACCTGGGTCCCCCCCCATGCTAGGCRGGGGCTCTACTGCTAAGCCACAATCCCAGCCCCGAAAACTGCTTTTTATAGAATAAATATAATTTGACTTTCTGTGCTRTTTTTAACTTTGATTCCTTAGCTCCTCTGAGATCTTTGATTTAACAAATCCATTACTAAAAACACGGGTGGGTAATTTTTTTTTCTTGAGAATTACCTCATCATTTACTGTAGTATATAAAACTTCATTGCCAGCACTGCCAAAGACACAAGCCTGACGAATTAACTGCAGTTCTTCCTCGGAACAAAGGGAAAAAATTGGCCACTTTCCCACATCTAACATCTTCAAAGATGATAGAGTAGCCCGTACTGGCTGAAAAGGGGGAAAAAAAAGTGTATATATTGAGACTATTAATAAAATTTCTTTGCCCCATTCTGCAGAAGAGAGTTAAAACCTGTTTGAGGAGCAAGTCCTRTCTATTTCTGAGAGGCCTCTCACAGCAGCAGGAATTGCTTCAAGCCCAAGGGCTTCAGTACTGCTCTCAGGGCAAGCAGGCGCCAGAGGCCCGGGTGGCATCAGATCTCACCTATTAATTTTCCTTGAGGACACAGGAATCATCCAAGCTGAACTCTGGGGAGCTGAGTTTTAACAAGTACTTTAAATATCRGCTAGGTCTTCAATGCAGCTGTGGAAACTAGGCTGGTTGTAAAAGCAAGAAAAGACAGAGGGAGGAGGGAGGGCAGGAGGGAGGGAGTGAGGACTGCCATTTCATCTGCTGCCTAAATCTTAGCAAAGCAAAGCCATGGAAAAGAACAATGCTGAAGGTGACAACAGGGAAGTGGTCCAAATGTCTTGTTCCCTGGGCAAGCTTTACCTGAACTTCAGTTTGAGAAGCTGGCTTTCCTCATTGTCCACTTGGGTCTGGGACTATTAAGAACAAATACCCCAAAAACATTGTATGAGTTTTCTAGAACAGCTGTAAAAAGTATGGCAAACCAGGTGGCTTAAACAATGGAAATTTATCATCTGACAGTTCTGAAAACTAAAACTTCAAAATCCAGGTGTCAGCTACTTTGCTTCCTCCTGAGTATGCAGGAAGGATCCATTYCAGGCCTGGATTCTTGGCTTATAGATGGCTGTCTTCTCCCCTTGTCTGTTCACGTTGACTGGCCTGTAGGTRTACCTCTGTGTCCGAATTTCTCCATTTTATGGAGACACTAATGATACTTCACTTAATTACAGATAACTGTCAAAGTTATCACAATTCAATTTAAAATACAGCCTATGAAGATAGAATCAAAGTGACAGGTTGGGCATGTCATCACCCACTTGATTCCTCACAGAGGTGCAGAAGCATGGCTCCACGGGTATACATTCAAAGGACTCGTAAGATCTATCTTGGTTTCTAATTTATACAACAGATATATTTTCTTCATTATGTTTTCCTTAAGCTAATATTAAATCTTAAATGGATGCAGAAGTGGTTCATATCTCTCAGATGCCAGCTACAGGTAGGGGAGGGGAAACTGATGTGAACCAAACAGTAAAAGAAAGCTGGCCTGGCATAAATTATCGCCTCCGGCAGTGGTACAGGAAATCAGCAGGGTGCCTGAGCCAAACCTGGACCTAATTCTAGAGATGCCATTTTAAAGACAAACACTACCAGGCTCTCATTCCTTCTTCTAAGATTACATATTTTATAATATTTTTTAAATCTCTTTGAGAAAGGACTAAACATTGTTTATCTCAGAACCTTTTGCAGGATAATGTCATCTGTGACAGGAGGCCTGAGCTCCTCCTCATCCAGGTCAAAGATCACCTGTCCCTAGGAGCCCTTTTCTCCATCTTTCAGACAGTCATCAGTTCCCTGCTGGCCCCTTCAGCATTCTACACCCCATAATAACTATCTGTTGACATCTCAGTCATCATACAGTGAGCACCTTAAAGATGGATACCATCTCACTGATCTTCCTATCATTGACCAACTTGATGAAGTATGTTTCATGCAACAGAATACACATGCTCCAAGGGCATGATTTTTTTCTAACCTTGCCACTTTCTCCATAGAAAAGAGGAAGTTCTTCTTCCATATGGACTCACTTCTGTGTAGTCCCTGAGGAAAAAGTATGTAGTAAAATCAGGATCCATATGTCAGATGAAGTAAGGCAGGTTAAAATCACTTTAGTTCTAAGCAGGGATGGTTTCGACCCCTGTAGTTCTAGCATTTGGGAGGCCAAGGCAGGAGGACTGCTTGAGCTCAGGAGTTTAAGACCAACCTGGGCAACACAGAAAGACCTCATCTCAAAAAAAAAAAAGAAAAATTACTTTTAATTATCAGAGAAAATAAAGCTGAGCTCAAATATGATGAAGGAAATTAAGCTCTGGCTGTGGAAGTTAACCGCCAAGAAAACCCACAGGGTATTTTAACTGGAATTCTCATGGGAATCTTTCTGCTGAGTTCTAGAAAAGTAATCCCAGGATAAAACAGAGATCCTTATGTCTATAAGAAAATGAGTAGAAAATTTTCATTAAGAGTTGACATCTCCAGGTAAGGAAAAATAAATTTTAGACCTTGGTCAACCTTTCTCTGGGATTGGAAAGTTCCAAATCACTGTGAAGAGCAGACTTATCAATTCTCAGCTCCACTGAAGAATATGTAGTTTGCTAAGCTGGAAAAAAAAATGGAGAAATGAATGAAATGGATGAAAGGGTGAATGAATGAATATGGCTTTGTTTTCCTTTGTTTTAACAACAACAAMAAAAAAATCTGAAATGAGAGCCAGCAAGTGTGTAACAGCAGCATTGAATGGTCTTGCCTTCACAACCATCTGCACTATGACTTCTCACTACCATGCAGAAGTGACAGCAAGGGCAGCCCTACGGAAAGATACCAGCATGTCTGCGCCATGGCTCACGGTTCATTACCTCACCACTAAAAATGAATATAAGCAAAATATTGTCCCCCCCAAAAGCAATTTAATAAAACTGTATTTAACAATGTTGATTTGTTTCTAATTTATTAAGTTGGGTGCTATTATATGCAATCCATCAGGTACTAATGTCAGAAGATTTTATCTGGTATTTGCTACAGTAGATTTTGAAACTTAAAGATAAAAAACAAATGAGGTCAATTATTTAATAGTGTTCTTTACCAATGCTTTACATACCCTTGAGAATCTTAGTAATCTTTTTTCCTCAGCTGTAAATAGTCTCTCAGAATATGAGGAATAAAAATATATACAGAATAATTATAATTCAAAACTATGGCAATTAGGAATAAATCATTATCTCTCGCATTTAGAAAGCAAACTTAAAAAGACATGCTTGTTTCTAAACAGGATCACTCAGAAGTTTCTCACTTGTAAATCTATAAAACTTGATCTAGTTGGCAATATGAAAAGATATTTTGCCATATTTAATACTACACATCATCTATGCCATTTTGACAGATGTGTTATATCCTAATTTTCTCTAAAACCCAGTATGACCACCACTGAACTTCACATATCAGTGTGCTTCCCAATTATTCAAATAGGCAGAGACACCTTCCCCTATGTATTTCCATAGGATTTTTTCTAAAACTTCTTAATGGCACCTTTCATATTCTGCCTCGTGTCACAGTTGTTCTTATATGATTTATCTTCTCCATTAATTTGCAAACTTCTTAAAAGGGGACCATGATTCATTTGTGGCTATAACCACTACAGCACTATGGCTTGGAGTGAATACAAGGTATATGTTGGAAGCATTCTTGGAATAAAGCTCTTGTATTCTGGAACCTGCCAACCGAGGGTTGTATGGTTGGTTGGTTGGTTGTCCTCCCTCCCTCCCTCCCTCCCTCCCTCCCTTCCTTCCTTCCTAGTCCTGGAAATCAAACCCAGAGCCTTGGGTATGATAGGCAAGCACTTATCACTGGGCTCCACCCTAGCCCCTTGAAGGTTTCCTTTTCTGTCTCATCCTAACTGAAAACACCTTTTCCATGACTGTCTCAAATTTAATGGAATAAAAAATAAAAAGAGAAGAGAGGAAGACCAAGGATGTGACTCAGCGGTAGAGTGCTTACCTAGTATGCCCAAGTACTGGGTCCAATCTTCAGTGCCACAAAATGGGGGAGGGGGTAATAAAAGAGAAGAATAGAGGGAAAGAATCCAAAAGTTATACAATGGGCGGAAGGTGGGAAGGAGGGGGCAGAGGGAAAGGGGAAAGTGAGGAAAGAATGAAGGAAGGGAAAGGAAAGGAAATAATGGGGAGAAGGAAAAAAGAGGACTTCACCTCACTGAACTTCAGGCACCTTTGTTCCAATGGAAGGGAAATGTGCTAAGATCAGGGAACAGTATCCTGGGTTTTTAAGTTGGAAAATAAATGGCTCTTTTCAGTATCCTTGGTCAATTTTAAGCATAATAAACTCTTTAAATAGGAAAGGTTGGAAAACAGGCCATTCTGTTTATTGGCTGATCAGGTTCAGGCATAATTACATGGATGACATGTAGAAATCGCCACCTTCCAAGAAATGACATTCATAAGACTCAATTACTACTAAATATAAGATTAACATAATTTTATGTTTGATGGTCAGAAAGTCCTTCAATATTTAGAAATGATTTAAGATTAATTACTATCATTTGCTACAATAAAAAAATTTTTTTTGTTGTTGAATTCCCTGGCTCTGTAGAAAATGGTTGGCTTGTTTTTTGTTTTTGTTTTTCATGATACATACTTGATTAAAAAAAAACCCTAATTTTCCCAATTTGTGCTATTTGAGGGATATAGTTTTTGGAAAATATGTGGAGATTTTAGTTATCCTGAGATCCACATGATTTCACCAGGCTATTATTATCAATATTGTAGTAGTATCTCAACATACATCTTAAAAATCTACAATATACCTACAGAAAACTACATTCATGATGAGCTAAACATGTATTCTAAATAACAACAGTATGATATTAATAGTTAAAAACCAGTTATCCTATGCCTGACAGTATTTCATTTAATCTGTATAATACCTAAATAAACAATAAAAATGTTTCAATAATTTGACCAACAGTCACCAGTCACTCAGGATCAGAACTAGTATTAGACCCAGGACTGGCTCCAAAGTCCTTACTCTTGGATCCCCTTCTGTGCTGTAGGTATATTTTAAGTTTTTCCTGTGTACAATCCAAATATATATATCCAACTATCTAAGAACATTACCTCCAAATGCATTTGTACCTGGTTGTTTTAAATTTCTGGAGCCCAGTATTTGGTCATCTTTAATCCTGTTGCCTTATAAAGTTGTCCTTGTACGTTGTCTTCTAAAACAAGGTTAATATAACTGAAAATACAAATACATAAATAAATTCTATTAGAGAAAAAAAATATACTATCTTGCAAATTTAAAAATCCATTATTTATCTTGGAAAAATATTTTTAATTGGATGAACTCCTATGAAAAAAATCAGCAGTAGAGATGTTCAATTATAAAAATATTAAGATTATAATATATAACTGGGATATATATTTTATTTGGTAAGTTTGAGACAAGATTTCAACAATTTGGACACTGACCCATATGTAAAAACACTTACTAAAAAAAAATTTAAACTGTAGCATTTCAACATAGAAAAATGAGTACTGGAGATCAAAGTACTTGGGCATACTAGGTAAGCACTCTACCGCTGAGTCACATCCTCAGTCTTCCTCTCTTCTCTTTTTATTTTTTATTCCATTAAATTTGAGACAGACATGGAAAAAGTGTTTTCAGTTAGAATGAGACAGTAAAGGAAACCTTCAAGGGGCCAGTGTTAAGTGCTTGCCTATCATACCCAAGGCTCTGGGTTTGATCTCCAGTACTTACAGAATACTCATATGGGATACTTAAAAAAAAATAAATAAAAAGCTTTCAAACTTTTAGAAGTATAAAAAATATCTTTATGACTTCAGGACAGGGACAATTTTCTTAAATAAGACATGAAAGCATAAACCACAAAGAAAGACCAGTAATGTTGAGCAAGGAGAAAAACTATGACAGTACAGGAAAAGATACTTGCAACATATAAAACTGACAACTGGCAAAGGAGTAGTATCTAAAATATACAAAGAATGTCTACAAATAAATAAAACAACACAATTAGGAAACAGGCAAAGGATACAGGCAATTCACAGAATTAATGCACACATTAAAAGATATCAAAATTCACCACTGAATTTATCATGGAAATGCAACCACAATAAAATTGATCTTATCCATCAGATCTGTAAAATTTAAAGAGGGACAATACCTAGAATTGGTGAGGATACAGATTGAAAGGCATTCTCATATCCTGCCAAAAGAGATGTAAATTGATACAATCACTTTAGAGAATAACTCCACAATGTCTGGACAACCACAACATCTTTCAATCTTTTTTGACACATATATGTAACTCAAACAAAAATTTCACAAAATAATTCTCTTACACTTCCTACGTGAGATAGTTGGTGATATTTTCTTTTTCATTTTGTTTATTCCTACTCTACCCTCCACTATTCTATTTTATCCTATTCTGTTCCAATTTTAAAGAAAAAGAGCTAAATGGCACAAACCTATAATCCCAAAAACTTGGGAGGTATGAGGATGCCAAGTTCAAAGCCAGCCTCAGCAAATTGGTGTGGCCCTGAGCAATGGAGCAAGACCCTGCCTCAAAATAATATTTAAAAAAGGAACAGGTGATGTGGCTCAGTGGTTAAATGCCCCTGGGTTCAATTCCTGGTGCAAATTAATAAATAAATAGGAAACGATGTATTTTGCAGAATGGTTTCTTATACATTTCCTCATTTTATTTAATGTAATAAAAAAATGATACAGACTCATACTGTACTGATACTGTCTTGCAATATGGACAGAAAAATGGTAAGATAAGGACCTCCTCCAGCCACTGATCTCTGCCTTTTGAGGATCCAAACTGGACACTCAGGAGTCAGTGTTTTGAGTTTTTGGAAGAGTTAATTTTTCAAGACCAAATACATATCAAAGTAAGGTAACCTATTTTTTATTTCAAATGTTTTCCTAAACTTAAATAGTTCAACACTTTATTTCCAAATCACCCCTGATTGGGAAAGATTAACTCCTTATTTGGACATATTGTATTCAGAAAGTTTTTTTCTGCACTCTTAGTAACTACACAGTTGAAGCAGACAAGAAGACAGTCATTTGAAAATGTGAAAATATATCCATTCCAAATACAGAGAACAAATCAAATAACCATTTCTCTGTACAAAGCATATGATAGGCAGTCTGTACATATTATTCTTGGCAAAGTAATCAATAGAAATCAGTGTGTCTACCACACAATGTGCCATATTACTTGGTAGTGCCTCTGACATAAGTAATGAATTAAGCTGATTATAGGACATAACATTCATTTGCCTGGTTCATTCAACAAATATTGGTTTATCGCCTGTAGCAGACAATGAGTGCAAAGCAAATATGTAAAACAGAAAACCAATAAAGTAGTGCAAAGGAATTTGTAACTCTCAGGTGCCTGAGTCCACATTAATGCACCCAACAATGGACCTTAAGAGCCAGTACTTGGCAGTTAATTGGGGGCTTCTAAATGCTGGCAGCTGTACTTTAGAAGTGTTCCCAGTAGGRAAAATTTTAAAAATTTCTGCAGAGAAATCTAGTGTTAGTTATTTTAAAATTCAACTTGATAATACGAGGTCAACTCTGAAGATCACATTTAAGCAACATAAAACATAAAAATATTTCCTTGCAATATAGAATTCAATGCCTTCAACAAAGTCAACACATTAAATGATGCTTATCTAATCAAAGTAAAAGAAAAGTAAACAAAACCAAATATCTTTTAGGACATCAGCACATAGTTTGCAGCATCAGTGTGTTAATGAGCTGCAGATCATGTAAAAGTCAATGAGACAATGACACTTCCCAGGTATACGCTTTGCTGAGTCACTACTGACAACAGCTTTTTTAGTGTCATTCTGAAGTTATAGGTAATATAAATAGGTTAAAAAAAAAATATATATATATATATATATATATATATAAAACATGATCCCCACTGTCACGTGCTTTAAAAAACAAAAAAGTATTGGCAATAATTTAGTTCCTCCTGAATGAGGTGTCAGAAATCAAAAAATAATAGTAGGATACCAACAGTAGCTAATTAAAATAAATAAGTATAAACAGGATGAATAAAGCTAAAAAAATGTAAAAGCACAATGAAAACTAGAGCACAACCTCAAAGGAAATGGTATTGCCACGTGTTTATGAAAACCAGCAAACTGACTTGTAGAACACAGAAACACAGTTGCTATTTTAATTGCATGTTTGTCAAAAGGTTTTCAAATTTCACCAAGAGTGTTGGGGCAGAGGTACAAAGCAAAGGTGAACTTAGTTTGAAGAGATTATTGAGCTTGTCAACATTGGCCTTTTCAGCCACATAGCAAGTGTCACTTTCAAATATGAAAAAATAAGATGAACTGCACAAATATTATATGAGTTGGTACTTAAGAGACATTTTAGAATTCATTTAAAATTTAGTTCCTTATAGATCCAATCCAATTTTTCAATAGATTTAAATATATCTACTAATAGAATCCTAATTGTTAAAGATCTTGGCCCCCATGACACATAATTCCTCCAACATGGCAGGCCTTCTTGACTTTGGCTCCTTTCCATTTGGCATTCCTTTTGTTCAGTTTAACAGACATTTTGTATGACACAGACTCTTACAGTGGTCATAAGTCATGTTTGAGTCACATACTATCACCCCTTAGTACTTGTCGGCTCAAAAAGTCTTCCAYTGGGAAGTATACACAGGATGGATGACAAGACAGAAGACTTAGAAACACACTCCAAAGTCTGATTAATGCTGAAAAAAACTGTCCGGGACCGCCATGAACAGGAGCTGGGCATGTAGGTGCTGAGCACATACCCTTAGCCTTGAGCGATGGGGTTGTGGAACTGGCTTCTGTGTGCTGGAATGTAGGTAGACCTCACCTCTGCTGGGCAGGGTAGTGAAGCTCTGGGAGTGGGCATCACCCAATAGGACTGAGCTACACCCCCCTGAAACCCAATCCCTTGTCTCATTTGGGTGGAACTTTCTAGTGTCTTCCCTTCAATCAATAGGGTTTCAGACATGCTGTCTCTCTCTTTCCAATGGACCCGTAAGGTTGAGAGCTGTCCCTGAATCCTGTAAGCAAAAGTATTTGTGTGTTGCATGCTTCCTTGAATGTTTTCTTAGTTATTGATGTAGCCAGCTCTTGTAAACCCAGCTGGCAATAAAAAACTATTTTTGGTTAAATTTCCTGGGGTTCCTCATGGTGCGAGGACAGGGTCACCATGTTTACGAGACACATGTTCCTTACAGATTAAGGATCATACTAGCCCTCCACTGATGGTCATTTAAGAATATCTCTCACAGGGAGGCAAGCTGTCATTTCCTTTGAAGTGGATACYCCCATTTTCAGCCTTGAACAGGATCCTTACTGTCACTCTGCAACCCCAATACTTCTGTTCCCAGCCTCCCTTTCCTGGACAATTTAACTTATAATAACTCCAAATAAACTTCAAAAGCAACAGTATCTTGGGAGCATTTAAATTTCACTTTATCTACTGATAAAATTGAAATTGAAGATGACAATTTCCTAAGGGCATGAATAAATTCAATGGGTTCCCTACATTTAAACTTCTAGATAAACAGTTTTTCAATTTTTGAACCAACTTTACTTAAGCAAAGGGCTTCAGGGAACCACACTTTACTTTCTAGAATCATTCCTGTCAGCCTCTTTTAATTATACTTAAAAGTTGATTAGGTTCATTCAAATATTTCTAAGAGATATCTTTTATTATCTCAGTATGATATCATACCAGATGCTTTAAGCTCCTCTCCAGCACAGTTTCAAATAAAGAAAAGTAATGATCACTCTTAGAAGAAAGCTTCACTAGCCATCCACATGACTTACATCAAAAGACATTAAGAAGGAACTGCAAAGTAGAGTAAATGGTGAAGAAAACACAGATGTCTCTTGGTGTCCACAGGACCCCTCCACCCCATCAATAAGAAAGTCAGTGAATGCTCAAGTCCCTTCTATAAAATAGTGTATCATTTGCCTATAACCTATGTTCATCCTTATACTTTAAATCGCCTCTAAATTACAATACCTAATACAATGTAAATGTCATTAAATAGTTCACATCCTCTATTTTTAGGGAATAATGATAAGAGGAAAAGTCTGCATGTTCAACTCTCTCAATATTTTAAAAATATTTTCAATTTGAGGTTGGTTTAATAACTGGATATGGAATGTAAGAATATGGACAGCAGACTGTATAATTTTTCTCAGCACATCTATAGTGGTTGGTGAGTCTCTTCCATGTAAGAATCCAGCCTTTTCATTTGATGTGATGAGTTAAACTGCAAAATTCTGAATAATTTGAACTCTATTTAGAGAAAATGATTTTTAACCTATAAAGGATGGTACCATCTGTCACAGTGGTCATATTGCAGGCCCCCATGAAAGACATATTAGAGCAAGGTAATGAATATGTTCTCCCAGAAATATATTTAATTCTAAACCTCAGTTCTCCATCTTGAGCACCACCTTCAAATTATCCTTTAGACTAACTATCACCATGCTATTTAAAATTGTAACCCACAGCCAAGCGTGGCAGTGCACACCTGGAATCCCAACTATTTGAGAGGATGAGGCAGGAGGGTCATGAGTTCTTGGGCAATTTAGGAAGACACTGTTTCAAAATCAAAAGGGCTGGGGATGCAACTCAGTAGTAGAGGGTCCCTGGGTTCAATCCCCAGAACTGATGGATAAATAAATTAACCGTATGCCATATCTGAACTCCCAATAACATTTCTCTTCTCTTCTCCATTTTTCATTCATTCATTCTAGAATTTTCTGAAACAATAACTAAATGTAGGTTGTTCATCATTTTTCACTAGAATGCAGGCTCCAGTAACAAGGGATCTTTTGTTTACTGATAAATCCCAAGCACCTAGGAGAGCACCTGATACAAAATGTTTGCTGATCGAATTCACCTTCAGTACAAAATCAGGAGTTAGATTTCAGTTGCATTTATACAGTTAACAAATACCTTCTGTGCTCTAATAATGGTGAAGACTGAACATAACCAAAGAAGTATATAAAAATCAGATAGTGATTCGGGGCTACAGAATAAGATGTTGGAGAGCCAGAGCAGTGGCTACTTTAAATGAGGCAGCCACCTCTCTGAACTGATCACGACTGTTTCAAGCACTGAATAAAGTCTGGTGCCAGGATGATTTGGGTAGAGTAGTAAAGTGAGCCTTGAGCATGGAGGAAATAGCAAAAGCACAAGACCTGGTGTGACAAGAACAATAGGCCTGGTCTGGTGGGTGTAGGGTGTTCCAGAATGTCTCATTCTTGTTACCTTACCTACAACTTAACAACATGTATGTACCAAACACAAAGGAAATAAAGGGATTACACTTCACTGAGAGTACTCAGATTCTCGGAGCCTAAGTGGCTTTTCTATTCCAGCTCCCAAAAGTCTGTCCAGCACATTACATAAGATTGTGAAGCATACAGTAATGACATTGTTAAAAACACTTCACAGTAGCCCCAGGCATCACGAAACTGATTAATCAAGTACCACAGGGTAAGGTGTAAAACAGGAACTCAGTATTACAAAAGTGCAAAGCCAGATTTAATGTGACAGTCACTTCGGAGTCTAGTAGAAAGAGCATGTCCCAAAGCACCATGTGTAAACTCAACCACTTTTATTCAGCCAGGCACAGTACAAAGCAGCTGCAATACATGCATTTTGTTACAGCCTTGGGCTCTGTTATAACATTTTTCTATAATTTTGCAAAGAACAGAAGCAAAAAAAAAAAATCCACTCTGAACTCGCCTTCCAACTCAAGGCAGGAATTTCTTTCTCGGCCAGGGCAGAACACTTGGAAAGTTTTCAACTTCTGAAAACCTCAACTTCCGGGGCTGAGCAGAGCAGTACCTTCAAGCTCAAGGTGTGCAGTGACATATCCCCATCCCTCCACAGCAGCTGCAAAACAGTTCGCCTAGCAAAGGAAACTTTTCACAATATCCCTCCACATCAGGACCAAATGTCCACAGCATAAACTATCACAGAGTCTGCGACCGGTTCCAGCCGGGGTGCCAGGGGGTCAGGCTTTGGGGACGGGAGTCACGGGTCGAGGCGACAGAAATGAAAACAACGGCAGCCTAAGCTGAGCCGAGAGAGTAGACGGAAGGCGGGACGCTAAGGCAGGAGCCTCCCAAGGCCTGAGTATCAGCTCGAAGTCCACTTGGACACGTAAACTTAGAAGGGAGTAGCTTCCGAGCAGGTGACTGTCAGGGGGCGACGCCAAACGCGACCCTAGACTGGGGAATTGACGCGTGCGCAGTGGTGTATTGGCCCAAGTCTGGGGCAGGATGTAGCCCCGGAACCAAGAACTCAGCCCTCGCGCGCGGACTCGCGCAGGCGCAAGGGAGCCTAGGTCCGCGGCCTGGGCGAGGGTACAGCCTCCCAGACTCGCGCCCAGCCCCCACCGGGCCGGATTACGCATGCGCGGCGACGCCTTGGCCTTTGGCTTGGGCGCAGCTCTGGCCCCCGGGCCCCTCCCCAGCGGTCGAAGCTGCCGGGTCGCGGGGGCGGGGAGAGGTAGCCCGCTGCAGGGGTACCTGAGAGCCGCCCGCTTCCTGTCCCGCGCCTCCCCTGGGTTTCCTACTCCACCCCTGCACCTCCGTACCTCAGCGCGGGCCGGAGCCGCGTCCGCTCCGCCTCCTGGGTCGCGGTTACTGCTCGGTCGGGGGCCCAGCGCCGCGAGGAGTTGGCGCCTCCCCCTGAAGCGGCCGGGCCTTGGCGGGATGCGCTCCGGTGCCCGGCCGGGAGGGGAAGGAAGGGGAGCGCAGCCGAGGGGAGGGGGCCGGCGACAGCGCCTCGCCCCTCCTCCCCTCCCCGGGTGCCCACTGCCGCCCCCGCCCCTCTCTCCCGCAGAGTCCCCTCCCCTGAGCGGACCCCTGGGACTGGACGCCGAGTGTCCCGCTGGGTCCACCTCCACCCTCACCTTCTCCGGGGTGTAGTCCAAGGTTTGGGGACTTTGTCGTTTCACGTGTAAGGCTTTACTCGGGTTGGAGTAAAGGGCCTGTTCATTCTGCATTCGGAGATCCGGGGTTCTCAACTCCTTTTATCGAGGAGACTGCAGCTCATTGTGTGTGCTTGGCAGCCTTGTCAAAAGTCAGTCAGCCTTTGAAAAGGAAATTCTGTCAGTTTTGACAGTGTGGATGGACCTGGAGGACGTATTAAGAGAACTAGGCACAGTAGGACAAATAGCATGTTATCTCACTTACGTGGAATCGGAAAGAATTGAGTTCACCGAAGCGGAGAGTGGATGRGTGGTTATCAGGGTTGTAAGGGGGCGGGTAGGGGAGATATCATGAGAATACCAATTTTCAGGTAGGAGGAACATGTTCAAGAGATCCATTTACCACGTGGTACTATAATATATACAAAACTTGCTGAGACAGGATAGCAACTTAGCGAAACCGTGTCTCAAAATAAAAATAATAAAAGATTGGGGATGGAGTTCAGTGGTARTGGCTGTTGGGTTCCATCTGCAGTTACCACCCCCCAAATGTATACAACATGTTGTATAAATATGGACAATTTTGATTTATCATTTTAAAAATAACATTTAAATGACTTTTTAAAAGGGTTAAGGACCAGCTAGGCTAGTTGGTACACACCTGTCATCTAGCAACTCAGCCTCTGCAACTTAGATCTTTAGTGATATAGTAAAAACCTGTCTCAAAATAAGCTATGGGGATATAGCTCAGGGGTAGAGTGCCCCCCTCTGGGTTTAATTCCCCTGTATAAAACATACACACACACACACACACAGTACCGGTAATTTCTTGTGTACTTTCTCAACTTGGACTCTTTATAGTACATTGTCTCAATCCTCAGATAACCTAGCCCTGTTTTAAAGATGAGACAGTGGAGATTTAAGTACCTTGCCTACGGTCACATAAATAGTGAGAATGGGGCCAGGACTCAAATTCATGTCTTATTCCAGTCTGTAACTTTTCACTTGGCCCTGTAAATGAACTAGAATGGTAAATGGGTCAAATAATGAAAAGTCTTGACAATGTAATAGCAAGATGTATCACAAAATTCCACAGAAGATTTTAAGCAGGAGCATGACACAGTGCCCTCCAGTTGAACCCATACTCTGTTGTTCTCATGGGTAGAGATGAGTCTGGAGCCAGGGAGACCTGGCTGAGACTATTGCCTTAGCCTAGGTGAACACCAGCCAACCCACCAGCAGACCTTAAACTTACTGCAACAGTGAGTGGGCTTAAAGGGAGAGGAGAAAATGGATTTGAGAGTAGTTTAGGAGTTGAAATCATCAAAATGATGTGGAAGATAGGGAAGAATGTTAAATGAGTCAAACATTTAATATTTTCTAGGCCTCAAAATCTTTGCCTTTAAAGTGGAACATTGGACTATATGTTAAATATTTTACAAAACCAACTTTAGGCTGATACCAGAATGTGGCAAAAACAACACCTTTTGTATTGAATTTTTTTTTAAAAAAAGGAAAAAAAAAAAACTTAAGTAAAACATAAACAAATATAATCTAGCGAAAAATTTAAAAGTTTGTGTACCATGACCAAAATTGAGTTTATGTTGTGGGACTTTTGTCCCAGACTTTTGGATGAGGGCTGGTGAGCTGGGGAAGAGGTGAGAAAAATTCACAAAGGAAGCAAATAAAGAGTTTATTGGCTGGAGATAAGCTGCTGCTGCTATAGACAGGGGGGTGGGGAGATAAAAGACATTTGCTCACCCACTCAGAGGGCATCTGGTCTATATGTTTCTGAGTTCTTTGTTCGCCTTTGGCGGGCTTTTTGCTAGGACTGGTTTGTGCTGAACAAAGGGTGATTGACAGATTCCTACACTTTGCCCATAGTGCGTATTGCATGCTCCAAAACCTCCTTCCCAGGTTTTACATTAAATATATGAGATGCAGTTAATATATATGGGGACGTGAAAGGAACCTTTTCCTTAGGTTACTCAGGATCAAACTTGGCTCTCTATTCAGGCTCCTTGGGATGGTCAGCTGAAAAACAGCTCTTTTCTATTTAGACTTCAAGGAAGTTAGCTCCTTGGATAACAATTGAGGTAGGGTGGGACTTTGAACAAGTGTCCCTGATCTGTCCTGCCTCAGTTTATTTCAAGGATATTAATATGATACAGTGCTAATAAATTAATACACTTATACATAATAGGTCAAATGAACAGGAATGTTTTGATTTGTGATGGGAAAATGTTTCATAAAATTTAATACTTATCCCCAGTCTTTCTTATTTTTTTATTTTGGGACAGGGTTTTACTGAGTAACCCAGGCTGGCCTTGAACTTACGTTCTTCCTGCCTCAACCTCCCAAGAAGCTGAGATTACAGGCATGCACCAGTATTCCATTTATCAAAGAAACCTTTAGTAAATGACGATAGTCACACACTGAAAACTAGTTTCATGCTTAATGGTGAAATTCTAACATATCTGATAACYATAGAAATAAAACAGTGGTGCCTACTTATCCCTTCTAAATGTTGTAATGCTGTTCTGGAAGTACTGGCTTATACAATTAGATAAGATCTTAATGTAAGAAATGAGAGCTGAAAAGGATGCAGAAATTTTATTTCACTAAGCAGTTAGATTTGTGGTTTGAGGTATGCATGCAGYCCCTTTTCAATTTCTGACTGGTCAAGTTCAGAGGCATTTTGTGCATGTCTGCCCCAGAAGATGAAGCAGTCACTGTGCTATGATAGCACACAGTCTAGGTGCAGTGATAGCTGTCCCATGGTAGGTACTGGGAGTGATTCTTATGTGTCTCTTTCCTATAAGGCTTAAGGGAAAATAGTTAAGGCCCTTTCCCAGAAGGTATCTAACCTTAAGTCCACTTCCTTGTGCCTGAAAAGGCAAGACAAGCCCAAAGATAGGTCATTTGCCCCAGGCATCAGAGCAAATGTTCTTTGTTCTTTTCTGAATTGGCTTTTCCCAGCATTACAGGGACAGGAACYGGCATGAGGATGGGGTTCTAAGGCAGAAATAAATAGGGCAGGTTTCATGGCCTGCCTGGTTCTAAGTTTACATATACATAATATATGTATACRTGGTATAATGGTGTTCCCTAATTTTGTTCAACATTAGAGCTTGGACTAAAACCCTCAGCTAGTAATAGGGATCATTTGCCTTGCTTTGTTTTTCTGTGTATGGACTTCTTCTGGGGACCTGATAGAAGCAGGTCAAGGACAGGATTTGGGTTTTCCTGGATTTCTTGGCCACACACCACTTTAATTGCTCTTATTTTTGGCATGACCTAAATGTACCTCAAAAACCAAGAAAATAAACTGAAAAAAACCTTTAGAAATAATAATGGAGTTTAATAATGTTATAAAACTACTGATAGACAAAAGAAGACAAAATAAAGAGAAAYATCCTATTTTTAGATAAAGAACCCAACAATGTAAGGAGTAACTTCTCCTAAAATTAATCTATAAATCTAGTGTACTATCAGTAAAAATCCCATTGATTTTAATTTTTTTAAAAAAGTTAAAATCTAATTGAAAACCTAGAGTGGTAGAGGAAGACAATTTCTGGAAGATGATTTATCTTTATGTATTAAATTTGTCCGATGACTTAACAATCCCATCTTTAGGAATTTACTAGCATCCCAAGATGCATAAAGATAGATATCACAACATTGTTTATAATTGGGAAACATGGTAGCTTACTCCACTCAGGCTGCCATAATGAAATACCTTAGACTGGATAATTTATAAACAGTAGAAATTTACACTAATGGTGGCTGGGAAGCACAGAGTAAAGGCACCAGGAAATTTGATGTCTGGTGAGGATTTGCTCTTCACTTCAGAGACCGACTCTTGTTGCTGTGTCATATACAAAGAGGGAACGCTGTGCATGGTGGAGGGGACAAGGGAAGTCCCACAAGCTTCTTCTAATAGGGGACTATTCCTTTCATGAGTGTAGGGCCCTTATGACTTAATCACTTCCCTTTTCCCCAGGCCCCACTTCTTAATATTAACACATTAGGTATTAGGTTCCATGAATGGGGGCAAAGAGGGGGCACCAACATTCACATTCACATGGAAAATAGCCTACATATTCTATGGCAAATTAGTTGGGTAAACTACAGTATGGCATACTTTCTTTTTCCTTTTTCTTTTAAGAAGAAAGCCATACTTTCTTTTTCCTTTTTCTTTTAATTAGGGAAAATTACCCCCATTATATATATATAAGTGTGGAGGGGTAATTTTGATGTGTGAATATGTAGACATATACATACATTATGTATGTGTTAATATTTATATATATACATATATATAA